AACGGGGTTGTACCGCTGATGCTTCAGGAAGTCGCCCAGCATCCTGGCAATGCCTGGTAATGGCTTCTCAAGCTGTACCTTAGCGGGCGACCTTTTTTCCTCCTCCCTACAAAAACCAGCGCATCCTCCAGCTCTGCATTATCTGCCAGGTATCTGGTGGAGGTGTGGTCCTTCGATTCTCTAATGGAGCCCGTCGGATATCGTATTGTTGGTTGTGCAGCAAAATAGAGTGCTATATAAGTCTTTGAGTAGACTCGTCCGGCAGGATGTCGATTGGATTATCTTCAGCATCCAATATTGCTTCCTGTCAAGTGCCACAATAATGGGCAACGTGGATAAGGCTTGGACTAAACGCCCTTTTTCATTTGTACTGACCTCCTACAGTTGTTTTGGGTTTTGCATTTCATTTTTTAATTTTTGATTCAGCGCCGCTTTTTCTACACACACACCGAAAGTTTAAAATTTTGTTCCTTGCGCGACGCCTAACGGCGTTCATCGAAGTTCACTCGCGAAATCTGGTATTTTCTTACCCTATCTGGGTACCGGGCTGAAAAACAGACCCGACAAAAAGCGTTAGCCGCCTTTTTTCCACTTGCTCACTCCTATGGTCAGCTCATGGTTTTCGTCGATGTGAGTACTAGTCTTAAGCCATTAACCGCTTAACTCCAAAACTGCGCCTCATTTACTCCTGTACAGTAGTAGTACTGGGCAAAAGAGAGAAAAATAATTCCGTAATATGAAAATTGTAAAAAGTTATTTTGGCTATTGTTTTTGCCTAATAAAGGAAACAACGTCAGTGCAATGCAAATAAATAACACTGTGTTACCTCGATAATTGCTAAAAAAATCTTACTCGCTTCGAATCACTATTTTGAAATGTGTTTGCCAAAAATCGCCATATCGCCAAAGTGCAACTCTATATCTTTCGAACCCCATAGTCGAAATAATTTTTGTAAGGGAGGTACACACGAAAGAAGACAGTCATATAGATACAGCTGCGGAATAATAATAGTGCGTCCGCCCTTCATATTTAAAAACAATTAAATGCAGCATTTTAGAAACATCATAGCCTCACTGTGTATGCCTTGCACTTTTTGCAAAATTCCATTCACTATACAATGAGCTGCTGTACGTCAAAAGCACTGTATACAGAGTGTACTGCACCGTGTCTGAGTGAGTACAGTATTTGGCATTACAGTCATAGGTACTGAATTCACTCATATTTAAAGTAACAAATGGTACATGTTTTTACAATGAGTGATTCATTTGCAGTTTTGAATGCATTCCTGCTGAAAATATAAAAGCTAGAAAGTTAGGATTAAGCATTTCGATTCGGAGCTCTTAGCCTGGCAAACGTCCAACTCCCACGCACTTCCTTTCGTTTACTTAAATTATATTACACTAACTAACCATTGTGCGAAAGTTTCATCCAAATTTCTCAAGCAAGTGTCAAGTTTTTTTTTTTTAAGAGGTGCTTAAAACGTAAGACTCCAATGAATAATAAAAAGATCATTATAAAAAGTAACGAAAACGTCAAGCAAGTGTCAAGTTTTTTTTTTTAAGAGGTGCTTAAAACGTAAGACTCCAATGAATAATAAAAAGATCATTATAAAAAGTAACGAAAACGTGATGTCAAAGACTTATCGACAGATTTTACCTTGAAATCGTGTGTCTTTTGCAGAAGGACCCTGTTCTCTGAATGCTTTTTTTACAATAAAGACAGTTTTACACAGTTTACAATTGTATATTTGTTCAAATATATTACACGCACGTATACACACACATAGATTAAAATACCATAATTATCATATAAATGTTACTTAGCAAATACAAGTAGTAAGACTGGTGCAACGTTTTGCTTTTAAAGTTAATCCGATCTTTTGTAAATTCCCTTGCAAAATATATAGTCATTACGGAACAAACAAGAAGGTAATTGTCTGATCTCAATATCATTAGCAAGCGAATTTGTATTCAAATGATTTAATTTAATTTATTGTTCCACTCTGCTTATTGTATAGGTAAATTTTAGGTTGCCTATAACACCATGAATTATTTCAGTACATTTATACATTCTTATCTATCTATCTTTTTAATATTATAATTTGTTTTGCAGCAAGGACAATAAAATTCTGCATACCGAATTTCGGGCACTTTATTATGTATTCGTCAAAAAATCATAATTTTTTCGGAGGCATTATTTAATATTTATTTTATTATCGTGAAATTCGTTTTTAAGGTATATATGTTTTTATATTAGAGCGTTCTTATGCGATATGTTAGTTGGATTACGTAGCCTTTAATTCTAAAGAACAATAAAATATATTTTATTAGCAATTGCAATAGTAGGTACATTTAAAAAAAAAATTTAAGTAGTACTTTTTGCACAACCAACACATACATATGTATTTTTAATTAAAAACTCTTGTTTAAGACAAATATTTAAATCCATTTGAAATAATTTGCTATAAAATTAATATAAAGTTAAAAAAAGTATATTTTTTTATACCGGTATCTTAAGAATTATAGGTTACCAAAGTAAACATAAACGTATGGAAATATATTTGTACCGAATTTTCTGGGCGCAAGTGTACCTCTCACCATGATCTCTTTTGGATAAGGACAACTCAGGATGCAGACTTTATTTAAATAATTTTATACGCCATTAAATTGGCTGTTGATATAAAATATCTCTACAGTCGGTTTTCCCGTTGATAAAAAATTATTTTTATGCTCCAAAGTAAATAATTTATTTTTAATGGATAGTTTAAAGAATAACTTTAAAAAGCCAAGTTTTGTATACCCTTGCAATTTTACGTAATATTTCTTAGCAATGCCACTCATAAATAATCAAAAATTCTTCACAAAAAAATTATAGTTAAAGTCATCGAATACTTTTAAGAATAAAGATTTTTTTGGACTCGACCTTTATAGTGTTGTAACGAAATAAATGTATAATGTATGGATATCAAAATCTCACTTCGGTCTTCCAAAGGCCGAGATCGAATTTGTATCGTTTTCAATCTACAAAATTGAGTCCAATTCATAAAAAAAAAAAGATTTGTGTATTTTGTTTTTTAAAGTCAGTTTGTAATTTGAATTTTGTAATCTGAATTTATAGTGATCGTTCCTTGTTTTTGTTTCGGGTAATAGTTTATGGGATCTACACAAATTTGAATAAATTCGTAATCAATCAACATACAATCGTCGAAGCAAATGGTATGTGTTATGCTTTTAAATAGTCAAAGCTATTAAAAGCTTTTATTTTAGCTTTTGAACACGCAGAAAATGTCTGTTATGTATAGACTACCCATAAAACTATTCGTCAGATTGGTAAATGTTGTAATATAAATGGCTTGAATTATATATTAGCACTATGCATACCTTTTTACAAAAAACGAATAGATTATACCTGTAACATTCATTCTTTGGAAGTTTAAAAATAAGAACAACAATTTTGGGTTGAAGGTTACAGAACAAAAAATAGAAAAACAATGACCGAATGTTTAGAAAGTACAACCAATATAAATATAAACCCAGGCTTGTTTTCATATATATGCGGAATTACTTTATTTCTGTTAACTGCATCACTGGAAAATGGACTGTATAATCCACAAGTTAAACCAATTTTAATAAAGAATTGGATTCAAAAAGTTTTTAGCACAATAACTACCGTTAATGCATATGTTGATACTACAACACTTAATTAAAGAAACATCTACAAAATCGTTAAAGGAATGAATATTATATTTTGTTTCTGGTAAAGATTGCATTTTGATCTATGTAAATGCTTGGCCCACAATCTTTACAGTTGGCAGCTATTACGTTTATTTAGCATATTTTAAACAAATTATAGTCAAACTGCCTGACCCCGTATGTACTTTTGGATGATTAAGAATCAAAGGAGTACAAAATATTGTGTAATAGGAACTAGTGTTTAAGTTTGTGATATAACAAATTTTAATGGAGAACTCTGCATTTTATTTTTGCAAGGGTATGTAATTATTGGCATTCCGAAGTTATAATTCGATGATTTAACTTTATTGGGGGTTTGATTTGGTGGGAATTTTTGTGTACATATTAGAACATTCAATTAACTTTTTTATTCGCGAGTGCCAGCAATGCAACTTGATACACGTTGATGCTCGGTATAGTATGACATCTACGCAATCCAATAAATATGTACAATCCATACATACACTATCAAAATATGTTATTATTCATACATTAAGTTCAATATTTATTTATACATACATACACAGATACATGAAATTTATAGTCTAAAACGTTTACGTACTACAAATGTATTCTCTTATTATCATAAGTAACTTTTCATTATAGCAATAAATTGACCAGATGAAATGCTGAACTAAAAAATATCAAGTATTTACCATTTTTTACCGACTTTTTAATGCGAAAAAAACAAATACCATGTTAATATTAAACAATTGTTAAAATTCAATTTAATTTTTATTTATAGTTGTACACAATGAATAAAAAACTTTTACATTAATTAAAATAAAACTTTATATTATAAATCAAACTTATAAATACATATATCATAAAATAATAATGCACAAGAAAACTAGTTTTAAATACAACAAATTTTATTAAAAAAATGATATTCAAAAAAGTAAGTTTGTGAAGTTTGAAAATTATTAAATTAAACGCTTTGTTTTATTTTATAAGGGAAGTTACCGTCGCATAAATATATTACTATTGGACACATTTTTAGTTACGTGGTCCCAAGAACCATAATGTTTTATGAAAAATGAATTTTTAATTTCATGTTACAGCATCATGGATACAAAAATTAAGAGTGTTCAAATATATTACAAAAGTACGAAATTGTTCATCTTTGTCTTAAACCGTTGATGTGTATCTAAATTTTTGGTAAAAGTAAATATATATGTATTTTTTTTAATCTTGATAGAATATGGTGGTGTGCATTTACTTAATGCCGCTAAGCAAAAAAAAGCAAAAGCAAAAAAAGACTGAAAAATATCAACTCTACAAAATATATTCTTTTTAACAGGATTATCACGATTATATCGAGCCCTTTTATATAAGACCGAAAATTGACATTTACATTTTTTTTAGACAGAACAAATTGTTTACAACAAAATGTTGTACACGTTTTCATGTAAGTTAAATGTATTTAAATTATATTTTTTAAACATATGTAAGATTATTACGAGAGCAACACTTATAGTTCCCTTGGTTCCCCCATTTTTTCAGGTGAAAAGTCTTTATGTTGGGACACGTTATGTTTTCACCCTGCCATTGGGTTATAAACTTGTAATACTTTTTTTACATTTTAGTTTGTCGTTAACTTGTTTCCTTTCTTTTTTTATTACCGACTCACGTATCCCATTGCGGAGGCAAAATGTTTGGTTTCCAAAATAAGTAACTTTCAACAAAAAAAAAAAAATAATGTATATATAGGTAGGTATTTTGTATTTATTATTATAAATGCAGGAAAATGTCAAATGTGCCAAACCGACCCAGCGGACAGACCTTCTTTCCCATTCGCAAAAAAATTATAGCATGCAATTTTTATTTAATTGTTTACATTTTTCAAGTGATTTCAACTAAGAACTTGTCAATATAGAAATGCAGAATCAAAAAAAAAAAATTGAACGAAAAAATTTAATTTTTAGAATGACATTTATCTCTTTAATGAGTGTTCTTTTTCATTTTTATATTTAGGGCAAAAGAATTTGAACACACTTAATTTAATAATTGGCCAACCTTTATATATTTTTGAACGGTTATGAGAAAACCAAAACACATATTATGATCTGTCTACCAATTCTTTAAAATTATCACTTTAAACCACATTGCAAACCCGAGGACCAAGTAACTAAGTGTTCATGAAAAGAACATTGTCGTTTGTGTGTGTATTACGCATTAATTTACAAAATCTTTTTAACATATGTAAGAAATGAGCGATATTCTCTTTTTTTATGCGAATACACTTTTTAATTTCTTTGATTTTGACTTTCCGTAATTTTCCGTGACGATAATCACAAAAAAATTTAAAAATGTTACAACTATTTATCGTACCATTAGGAATGTGACTTAGGACCATGAACTGCGGTTCAAAAAAGCAATACACGAACATTCTTAATCTTCAATTTTTAACATAGGTAAGAAACTATATAAATATTAATCAATTACTTTATTTTAAGTTAAAATTAAAGTCAGTCGATATTTCAGTTAGATTAGTTTATCTTGAATATTAAATCTTACATAGTTTTACTTATACCAAATACATACATACATACAAAACCACACTATTTAAGCATTAAATGAGCAAATACGACATTTACAAATGATTTTTATAAATTGCATCTGAAAGAAAAGAAGAATTTTTTATAAATTTAACAGTAAATTTATATGAGACGTAACTGATAGTAATCATGATTCTTGACTCCTAAGTCACTGCGGACGGTCATTCATGACGTTTTATACTAATTTAGATAGTTTTTAATTTTAAGAGCCTGGAAAGTATGTATCAGGTAGAAGGAAGCGTTTCCGACCCTATGAATATATACTTGCTCAGGATCCCTACCCGATTAAGCATTCCAGATTGTTTTAGTTATGATTGCTGCAAAATCAATTTGACGACCGAGGATATGTAGACGTTTTACAGATAAAATCAACTTGCTAAGCCCCTTTTTTCTCCTCTGTACTGCCAGGATTGCCATGGCAACGAGCCTATAAATGAAAACTAATTTACCTGTCTGCATGTTAGCTGTTACTTCATCCTTATTTCAAATATTTGGGGGTGTAGATATTTTTATCGTTGCAAGCTATCTTTTCTTTGTCAATCTGGTACCACACTTCTTCCGAAAACAGATTTTTAGGTTATGTTATAAAAATATAATATTTATCTGTAATTGCAATTGTCTTTAATCTGTGCTAAACTACGAAGAATAATCAAAAGTGGTTTCTTGTGCAAAGGCAAAACGCTAAAACTTTGCCTACCCCACTGAAATACATTTTACCTCAAAATGTATAAACACACTTTTGTAATTTGTGCGAGATTTTCTGTTAGTATGCCTCTTTTGTGGAATTTTAAAATTAAATAATATTTTAGCATCCGAAAACTTGTACTTAGACTGCAAATGGTGGAAACCCTTCTGGCATTTAATCCCTACCTAATCCTGCAAAAAAAACATTGCTTATTACTGCAAAGGCCTATTTAATACTTAGTTTCTAAAAAGGGACCAGTTTTGAATAACCTCAAGCTACTAAAAACATTTTAGAATCTAGCTAATAAAATAAACCAAATCGATGAAGTTTTAATGAAATAAGTAAGTGTGCCAATAATTTTGTTCATGGATATGAGGCGTCCTTTTTGGTTTTTTTAATTTTTAATTATAATTATAATTTTTATAATTTATATATAATTATAATTTTTTTTCTATCTAATAAAATTAAGTCCCAAATATTACCAAAGCAGATAGAGGAAAACAGTCTTCAAGTTGAAAATACTTGTTGTGCCAATAATTAAGTTCATCATGTACATATACATAGTAGTCGCCTTCGCACACTCTTCTTGTGCGGTTGGGTACTACGTTTCCACAGAGATAAAAATAAACTGAAAAACTTCGAAAACAAGTGAAAACGCTATAGTCGATGGCCTTGATTATTATATGCCCGCTACTAAGCTTTAGGGAGTGCGCGAGGGATGGAGATATGCTGAAATCAATTCTGCTTTTTTCTGCTATAGCGCCACATATCTTCTTCTTCTATAGCGCCATCTAACCTATAACGCCCCCAGCGGGTTGTTGGCGTATTAGTGAAAAATTTGCTGCATTTGGTGTGGAATCTCGATTGAATTGCTAAATATTGATTATTATTTGGTCATAGCCTTTTAATTTTTTTGGGCATGTGGATGGGTATTAATAACACCAGTTTACAAAAAAAAAAATCAACGAAATACGCCTTGAAGACGACTTTGGTTTTCCGGTAAGGTACATTTCTCTGATTAAGAAAAGGGCACTTAACAGTTTTCCTAGTGTTGGGGAACGTAAGAATTTTGTGCAAGTTGTTACCTTACCGGAAGACCAAGGTCAACTTTAAGGCGAATTTCGTCGATTTTTTTTTTGCAAACTTGTGTAATTTCATTAAAATTTTTACAAAATATTAAATGTGGGAGCTAGACTGGTTTTAGTGTTATGGACGTTTGTGGGCGTTAGAGTGTGCGTGGCACCCTGATAAAACTAACTTTCGCTGCGCAGGAAGCCCAAGAATCTACATGCCAAGTCCCAACATTTTAACTCTCACAGTTTCCGAGATCTCAGCGTTCATACGGACAGACGGACAAGACTAGATCGACTCGGCTAGTGATCCTGGTCAAGAATATACAGGTGTATATATAAATTTACTTCGTGTACATTTTTGCATCAATGGAAAGGTAATTTAAATTCCGCTTGAATGACACAAGACTTTTCTTAACCCATTCAGTACTTGTTGAAAATGCCTAATTTTTATGAAAATATACTTTTCAAACTTTGTTCCACGTCTTGAAAACTAAGACTTTTTTGATGCTAAAAGTTTCTCTAAACAAAATTAATAGTAACTGCGAAAACTTTTTTTCAAAAAATCAAAAAATAAAGCCAAATGATTTTTAAAATTTTTTTTGCAGTTATTGTTTTTCCTTACAAAAACTTTTTGCATCAAAAAATTTTAGTTTTCAAGACGAGCAAAAAAGTTTAAAAATTAGACTTTTCACAAAAATTTGGTATTTTCAATAGGTACTGAATGGCTTAATAAAAGTATTGTATCATTCAAACGGAATTTAAATGACCTTTCCATTGATACCAAAATGTACATGAAGTAAGTTCAAAGTATGAGTATATTTAACTTTTGTTTTGTGTAAATTCTTTTGACCACCCCAGTACATACTTTGTGGTGTCAGAAACAGTTTTATCTACTTGGTACATACTTTCCGACGAATCTAGTATACCGTTTTCTCAATGAGTAAGGGGTATAAAAATAAATTTCTATGGAAGCAATCCAGTTTAGCAAATAATGATTTTATGAACTATAACCTTATAAATAAGCTCACTTTTTGTATTTCTTTTGTCAGCGTGGTAGGATGAGAAAATTCTTATTCTGCCGACATTATGTTGTGAACTTGCTCTAATTTAAAAGCCAATCGCTGCTTTTGCGAAAATTCATCCTCTTCGAGTGTAACAGTTAGCTGTTCATTGTATTTCACAGCATATGTGTACAGCTCATGTAGTGCACAATTTGTATTAAATTCTGTTGTGTGCAGCTGAAATAAGAAGATTTAAAAATAGATATATTCTAGAATCCATTTTTGAGACTTATAAAAACTAACCCTTGATTCTTCTGCAAGCATGGCATTCATATCCTGATCTGATATTGGGGACATATCGCGAATGTCTCTATAATAGCGGTCTACCCATTTGCGATACTCTGGTATGTCTTTCGCATATAGAAGTTTCGAGCTCGGTGAGTCCTTACCTAAGAAAGGTTAAAATGTTTAACTGTTTTTACTTAGCGCTGTCCTACTTACCCAATCGGTGATCAGAAGTTGAACAAGAGTCCATAAATGTTTGTGCCACAACTGACAAGCAAGAATCCACTATATTTGACTTATGAATGTCAAATACAAAATTAGGATTTTTAATCAAATTCACCCAAAAGCTAAAAATTAAATTAAAAAATATTAATGAATAACCATATAAGTAATAATAAAAAATACTTACCGCAATGGTAAGCTGTTACTTTTCCAAGTATGCACAACTTCTGGGTCAGTTATACCATGCAACTGAGCTTGATCGTCGAGAAAGTCAAACATGTACTTTATAGCTAGGGGCAGTGCCGATCCTCGATGAGCAGTACTAAATATCGTTTCAAAAAGATCATCTACGAATTTCTGAAGTGTACCTTTAGTTGCCAATAGTCTGGTTAAGTAAATCTCTGATACCAATTTGTTAACCCGTTCCCCTTCTTTCTGCATGTCACTATCATGGTGTTTCACTAGATGCCAGTATCTTAGACCATTATCATGCATATCATTATTAAGAGGGCTCCCGGCGCGGCTAAATGTCGGAGAGGAGGAGGTGTATTTCGATATATTAAGAGTTTCATACCTAAGATTGATAATAAAATATTAAAATTTTATGTTAAGAAATGTATATTGATTTCTTTAAATAAATATCTTACTTGTGAGATTTTTCGTTTTTATCCGACAAAATACTGAAGTTATAAATCGAACTTTGCTTTGGTACCAGACTCAAGCCGGCGCCGTCTGGAACATTGTAGTGCTGCAAAGTGTTAAGCTTTTTCCATTCGCTTTCAGTTTTAGATGTCACATCCTCATCGTACAGAATTACTCGACCTGTAGCACCTGTTCGCCACTCTAAAACAAAAGTAGTAGTTAAAATTGCAATTAATAAAAAAAGAAATTCAATTTTGCGGGTTTAAAATGTAAATAAATAGAAAATTAAACTATTTTAACTATGAACAAAGTCGCACTGCATGCTACCGATATCGATATGTGTAAACTCATAAAGTGTGTGCTACGTACATTGTACATTCTCCGGCCGTACTTTTACAAACCGAACGGATTCACAGAAAAATATATTTTTTAGAAATTTTTCATTCGCTTGAAACTTTTTTTACGTATACTATTCGGTAAATAACTAAACGCTCGTATCAGGATTTAGCTGAAAAAAGTTTCTTAGCCAGAAGTTTTGTTAAAAAACGTAAAGCTGAAAAAATACCCTCTGTTTAAACATTTATAGTAATCCGGTTGACTTTTTTCTTTTGTATTTATTTCTCAGAAACCTTTTCTTTCATAATAGCATTTTTTAAATACAATTTTTTTTTAATTTCTTTTATATTAAACAAGTTAAAGTATTTATAAACACATCCAAAGAAAAATTTTTGAATGCCAATTTAATAAGTGTGGGTAAAAATGACCTACACCTAAAAAAAAAGATAAATAAATTTGTAACGGGAAAGACTTTAACCACTAACCCTCATGCCTGTGCACCAAAAACAATGCGCTATCACTCTGAGCCTAGCCTTTTCTTTTATATTGTGACACAAAAGCTTTTCCGAAGACAACTTTTGCCAAGATTTTCGTATCAGAGATTTTTTGACACTCAATAGGGATTTTGTTCCATTTTTTGCTTTTAAGATATCGAAATTTTTATAACAAACCCTGGGAGGGATGTTAACCAAATGATGACGCCTTTGAAACAAATATTTTTTTCTCAAAATGGGGAGGTCAAAAATCGGAAAAAACTATGATTACGTAATATAAGGACAGACCCTAATGGCGTTGGGGTTTCTGCGTCGTTTAACACGTATATAGTTTTAAAACAGAGTCTACTTTGCATAGAAACAGACATTGCTATCTTCTGGCAATTATCCTCAGCAGAAGTATAATACAAAAGCAAGCCTTAACCTTAATGTTAAAGAATATAAGGAGCTCAGAAAGCATCAATTAGTTGTTACGTTAATGTAGATTATATGTTTATCCACCAAAAGCCAATCGTTGTCGTTTCAAAATCTAACAGACTATCGGTAGCCTAAAGTATTTATAACCGGTAATCGTAGAGTAAAAGAGTATACTAGATTTGTCAGAAAGTATGTTGTTACATACTTTCTGACAAATCTAGTATACTCTTTTACTCTACGATTACCGGTTATAAATACTTTAGGCTACCGGATGGAAGCGTTTCCGACCCTATAAAGTAAATATATTCTTGATCAGTATCACTAGTCGAGTCGATCTAGCCATGCCCGTCTGTCTGTCTTTCCGTCCTTATGAACGCTGAAATCTCGGAAACTATTAAAGCTAGAAAGTTTGGCTTATAGATTCTTGAGCTGTGCGCAGCGCAAGTTTGTTTCAGCAGGGTGCCACGCCCACTCTAACCACCATAATAAATAAATTTGCTCTTATTATCAATATCCTTTTACATGCAAAAAAAAATTTATAAATCGGACTATTCTTTTAATAGTCAATATTTTGCAAATTCAATCGAGTGTGCACACCACATACATGCAGCATATCAGCCGTTTTTACGAATACGTCAAAAAGCCGAATAAGTCGAATAACTGATATACACATGTAGATTCTTACTATTATATCCCAGTCGTAAGTTCGGGAACGCATTCCAAAAAATAACGCATTGCGGTGCTTTTTAGAAGTGGTTAATTTACACAACAAAAATTAATTCTGCCAAAATAAAAAAAATAGTGGATTCGAAAGATTTCAATTTGCTTTATATCTTTCAGAATCTCAAAAAAGGAATGGGCGCAGGACTGAACTGCGTAAAGAATAAAGTGACACAAAAATAAGTTTTATTTATTTTTAAGCTTACAGATATTTATTTTTGAAAGCATATAAGTACATTTCAGGTTAGAGTTTACAGGCGCATTCCAAATAAATGCGTACAGAATGTAATTATTTGGGGCATTCCTGGGTAAAGCTTACAGGAGCGTTCTGAATAATTGTGTACCAGAATGTGTTTAGTTGGTGCATACAGGCGCATTCCAAGTATAATAATAACTAATAATAAGATAAATTATCTTTTGTCCCTCACCCGTGTAAATAGAATGGGAAGGATCATCACTTTCGGCACACGTTTTTGGTGACCACTTCATAATGAAAGAACACGGGTTCTGAATGGAGTCATTTCCGACTGTGACAGACCCTTTACACTACTACGAATTTCATGAATTCTCCAACACGTGAAATAAATATAGCCCCTGGGAGTAAGAGTTGGATAAAAACTGTTTAGTCCAAGCTGTGGTCCATTATTGTGGGACTTGACCCACAGGAAGAAATACCATAACAGGTTTGATACTCAGAATAGCGGAAGTGCTGGAGATAATCCAATCGAGAAGCCCATTGAGAAGGAGCATGACGGGTGGGACTTCGCTCCCTACATGGACATCCTGCCGGTCGTGTCCTCGCAAAGAAAGTATGTTTTGGCCAAACAAATTTGTTTACGTTGCATTAAACTAAGTTAGTTATAAAATCTCTGACAAGCTCTCCATTGGGGAATCGCTGGACTCCACCTCCATCAGCTACTTAACAGCTAATACGGAGTTGGAGGACGCGCTGGCTTCTATAGGGAGAAAGTAAAAAAGGGAGCCCGCCAAGGGACAGCTGGAGGAGCCATTACCATCCAGAGCCAGGATGCTGGAAGACTTTCTGCAGCATCAGCGAAACAATGGATGGATCAGAAATCAGTTATCATGTTGTTCTGCTGAACGCGGTGAGTAACTTACTTTTATTACTTTCGCACCCACAAATGGTAAATACTACAATATTTTGTGGACAAATGTATTATTTTTAACAGGTTAAACTTTTGCTGTTAAGCAAAACTATGAAAGTCTCAAAATTTCAAATTTGTTTTCTTAAGTCACCTTTTTTTATGTTTATACATTTATTTAAGTTGTCTAGTAAGATATTTTTTGTTATATTATTTCTTTACAGAGATAAATTTTTGTTGCAGGTGCCCTTATTATTTTTACACAAATTTTTATTTATAGCCTGTACCAAGTTCTTGTGTACTTCACTTAGATTCTAACTAGAGGTGATATGACCCCTGATGGAAAAGAGTAACTGGAAATATTGGTATTGTGGTGGATAATCAAATTGGCCAAAAAAATCTAGAAATGTATGTTCTCAAGGCGTCTTTTGCAGTCAAATTTGGTGATTTTAGAAATTATATTGTGTCTTTTTTTTCGTTTTGAAGGCGTCTTTTTAAAGAACAACTTCACGTTTCTTAAAACAAAAAAACATCATTAAATCAAATCAGCTATTTTTTCAAGCAAAAAGAAAGTAGCATTCGATTTTTCTAGTTTTAAGGGTGTTTAAAGAAACATTTTGTATGAGTGTAGGATGTCGATTAGGTGATCAGGCTCAGTTTTGTACAGAATCGCGAAATGTCCTTGCATGGATTAACATTGATAAAGGCATGGAAATATTCATTACTAACTGAATTGGCTGGATTATTAAATATATGAATCGATAGAAATGGTGTTTGTTATCAACCAATGTTAATATTCCTGATTACTCGCGACAACAAATCAGCAGAAAAATGGTTAACCGGGTATCAATTTCATCAGTAGCCGTCTGCCAAAGACAACCATCCATGAACGGACACTCCTTTAACCAATTACTTTTGAGAATGTTAACATACAAGAAATTTATTCAAACCAACTAATGGATTGGAAGATTATAAAAAAAATGAATCAGGAAATTTTTCCTGGGAGAAAATCAAACGGGGATAAACCGCATGGTAAAAGGTCGTGCAAAAACAATTAGGGTCGACAGAAAATATTTCGTAAAATTGTCTTACAGTATTGCTTAGCAGTGCATAAAATAAATACCGGAGTTAAATTTGTAATGCATTTCCTCTAATAAAAAGTTTATAAACTACTCGGCAAGTAACGGGTACAAAAATTTATTTAGTTTAATTTTACTTACCCAAATCTAAGTCATCCTTTCGCGGTCTTTGGCTTGATGGAATGTTTTTATAAATAGTTTCCAAGCATTTTTCTTTTACTTGTCCAATTGTATCACAGTCCAAAACCTTTACAGACACATTTTCGGTATGAGGAGGTAACATATCTAAGTTGTTGCAAAATATTGGCTGTTGTATAATGCTTGCATAGACATTCATTGGTCGGAAATCGATAGACTGGCGTATAAGTTTTTCTTCACTAAGAGAGTATCTTGCCTCATGTGTACAAGCATCAACGGGACCCTTATCTACTTGGCCCTTTACAGCGCGAAAAAGCATATATAAGGGCTCTCCAGCACATTCCTTCAAAAACTTGTAAAGAAGGAAGGTAAACCAAGCACTTAACATTTTTTCTGCCACACTTTCGGTTCGCCTTAATAAGAGTTTCGGGTGACTCTTTCCCTCTATACATTTTTCAATCAAGTCTCCCAATAAAGTTTTTAATATATCTGTACAATATTCCAATTTCGATTGTAGTGTGACCATAATTAATGAGGCCACATTAACTCGTTCTCTCATGGAGAAGTATCGATTTGACTCTAAGGTTCGAATAAAAAGTAGCAGGAAAGTTTTGTTCATAATAAGTTGGCCAAAAATACGCAATCCTTTTTCCTTTCGAAGAAGCTCAGGTCGCTCCCATTGCAGTACAATGTGGTCTTCGTGATTGGGAAAAAGAATCTTCATTGCATACGATCGATAATCTAAAAATGGAATGCCTCCAGACGTAAGATCCCCTGTGAGATCAGTCATTTCTGTTTGGAGTTCTGCAAACGCCTCCTTACATTCAGCTGCGACACGTAACTCTAATATGTCCATCTGCTCCTGCATGTTTCGAAGCACCCGGTTCGATTCGGAACTTTTCTTTTTATATGCCACAAGCAAAGCAACAAAAATCAGCAGTAAGATAACGATTGTCGCTATTACAGCAAAAATTACATTTTCTCCCCAATCCAAAATGATGTTTGATGATTCGTAGCTAAGGATACCAATACGGTACTCCAGAGAAGTTCCAATACGAACAATTACTTCTGGTCCGTTTATACTTTTAGTTGCCGTTGCTTCGGGAGGAGGTCTACATGTAAGTTGTTGCCTTGAAAGAGACGTAATATTGCAAAATCCATTTCCTATTTTTACTTCCACATCAGTCTCTTTGCAGGCGCGATCTAGGTTCCTGCCATTTATTGTCAAATATTCACTCTTAAAGTACTTAACCCTTTCTTCAAATATGAAATATTCGGGATTTGGATAAAGTTCAAAATGGTTGTTATGAATTTTTGATAAATTTTGTACTCGCAAAACATTATCCATAAGGAACCCATATTCTAGAAGCATTGGTCTTTCCGCTTCAATAATTTTGCTGTCCACCTCAATAACTGGAGACGCGCATTCCATTTCAGTATCCGATTGCACTCGGCATTGGCTTGCATATATCTCTCCATTGTATACTACGTAAATGTTGGGAGTTTGTATACTGGTGAATTGGGTACCAATCACGGAAATTCGAATGCCGCCAGCTGGTATTCCTTTCGGTACCTTTATTTGCCCACTTGGTCCTGAACTAACGTGTTCAATTGTAGGATCCAGAACATATTTAAAGTTGTAGTCATTGAATTCTCGGGGACCATTATCAAACGACATTTTCAGTCTTCCTTCAATGATACCAGGGGAAGGTGAGGTGCGACATATAGCTTGTGAAGAATCTGTGCTTAGAATTTTGCAAGGCAAATGATCATTTATGGATGCTTGTATACGAGAGCCGGCATTTAAGTGCTTTCCAGTTATATGTATTTCAGTTCCACCAGAAGTTGGACCAAACTTTGGATTAAAATCCAAAATTTTCGGGTCAACAAATTCGTAGTCTTCCTTAGACTCACCCCGATAATCCCCTATTTGTACCACTATTTTGCCGTTCCTGTACATTTGTTCTCCAGGACTATCTACAGTACATACGATTTGCTTTGTGTCAATGTAAAATTGGGGAAACGGCATACAATTTATGCCGGCTATTCGAACGCCTGAATAAATGTCGTTATAATTTTTGCCCAAATTAATGCCACGTATTGTTATGTTAGTTCCTCCTTCCCATGGACCCGTTTTCGGTTCGAAAGTGTGAATTTCAGGGTTTGGGCAAATTTCACTTCGATTAAGCCAATCAGTTTTCCCTTCTTTGTTCTTGTTACACTGTTCTTCAACTTCGCATGTGTTAGTAGACGAACACCAACCGCAATTGTACTTTTCGGCTAGGGCCAAACAAATTCCACAGCTGTCAGCCATTTCTCGACATCGATATATAACAACTGCAACACATAATATTTGAAAAAGAACGTGGAGGATATTTATAAGGATCGTGTTTTATCATAAACTTACCATGTATGTTATGAGGGTTATCAAGAGGCTTGGAACCACCCCATATAACCGCGAATGTGGCTGTCAAATTGGGTGATCTTGAGGTGTACTGAAACTCCATGCTATCGCAGTAAATGGTGTCACCTAACAGTTGAGCATTTAAACTCGTTACGCGTCCTTCAATATTGAATTGGCAAACGAAACGCGTTTGAACTATAAATTGTCCTATTATATGAACTTTAACTTTTATAGATTTGCTTGTTCCACCAGACACTAGTACTTCACTTCCATCACCTGTAGCGTTAATCGTTGGACAAAACCCAGGACCTGATCTATAGCTTGGGCCTATCCGGCTAACGCCTGTAACCAAAATGTCGTTGCGACAATTTTCAGCAGTGTCGTGTGTGCACCGGTGTGCCTCAACACACCAATCACACGGAAATTCCGAGGACACACAACGCGTACACGATGAGTGTGTGCTGCAATCAAAGAACGTAAAATCCGTGGACACTAAGTCAGGTCCATTTCTGGTACGCACAGATAGTTTGGCTGTAAAATGATGTTTTCCTTGTTCAATTTGGGGAAGCATGTCTGTTCGCGGTGTTGTACAGTTTACGCCATTTCTTTTTTTCGTGGCATTAGTAAAGAGTGCTTTATCCTCTGTGGTAAATGCGCATATTAAATTCTCCTTTAATTGCGGCAAATGATCTATAATAAGCTCTAAAGTCCGAGCGGTAGTACGTTGTAGCTGGTGGGGCACAACACTAGTTATTGTAGTACATTTCCCAGTTTTATAGCTGACCCAATACAAAGGATCGTTGGCGTCGTCCTGGCAATTGGATCGTGGGCTACATTTATTCTCCAAAGAGCACCAGCCGCAATATGGGTCTCTAGCACCTAGGCATTCTCCGCATGTCTTGTAATCGGAGCAATCGAACACTTTAACCTTGGACACTTTAGTCTCGGACATGACATACATGTAAAGGTTTTGGTTGTCAAACTGCATATCCTGACTAATGGCGGAGCCCAAGTCTACAGGAAAACTGGCATACTCATTCGCAACAGATGAAGATTCGACTACAACTTTCTTGAGGTATCCATCTGTTGTGCCCACAAAGACAACGGTATATCCACTGGTGCTTGTTGCGGCAACTGAAGTTAACTTCGTGTTAAACATGGCAACCGGCACTGAAGTAATGGGATTCTCTCCCCCTAAAGGTGAATTTACATCCAGTCCACAGAAATCTTCCCCAATAGTTTGCAGTTTCTGAAATTAGATCGTCATTATAAAATATGTACCAAATAAATAAATATGTAATAAATAAATTTCTAATTCTATGGCTAAAATAACGTTATATCTATATTAAAATGTGTATAGTATATAGTTAATAACGGTCACAATGTATCCTTTTGTTGAAATGTGCATATACGATCTCAATTTTAAACTCAGAATTTTCATTCACTTTCTTCAAACGCTTTGAATCTCCATAATTATTGGTTTTTGATTTTTCATACTTCTAAATTTTGTATTGGCACACTTTAGGTACACATACACACATTTTAGGTACATGTTTGATGGGTAAATAAAACAAAATATCAAGTATCAACAAATGACACTCCAAAAAAAAATAATCTTTCCGTTAACAGGACCATCGAAAAAATTGTCCTGTTAACTCTAGTGCTTAAATGAAGGAATTTAAAATCAAGTTCCTTTTGAAGTTTTGCTAAGAGTTTAACAAATAACAATTTTAGTATTTCTAAACGTTTTTTAATTTTTTAAATTTATTTAAAATAAAATATGTTTTAAAGAATTCGGTTAATAACTTTTTGAGTTATCGGGACCTACATTTGAAATGCGTTGCGTCAGGCCAAAAATAAACAGATTTGAATCAGTGTTGTGTCTTTAGGTACTATCATTTTATTATTTTGAAAATGTAATGATAAATAATTAATTACTTTTGAGAAAGTAAGGCTAACAGGAACTGTAATTATAATGAGTTTTATTTTAAAACTCAATAAATAATCATTATTTTTGATAAAAAAAATAGCATAATTTTTGAGTTTTATAATAAAAATCAAAAATAATCATTGTTTCTGAGCAAAAAAATAAAAATCAAAAATAATGATTATTTCTCATGTTTATTTTTTTGATCAAAATAAAACTCATTTTGAAACCACGGCTCTCCTGTGCCAATTATTTGAAATTTTTTGAATAAGCCTACAAAAGTAACGCCAATATGGTTATATCGGCCTTCTGCTCCCTTGCAGATGATATTTTTCTTTGGGCATTCTTTAAAGCAAATGAAACCATCGTTTAACACTCATCCTCTACCTCATAAGAATTCGCGGATACGGAAGAATTGGTAAGTTACTAGGCAAATTGTTGGTTTGATAATTAAATCAATTCTTCAGTAACCGCGAATTCTTAAGACGTAGAGGATAAGCTTCTACAGATGGTGTGAATCACACTCAACTTAATAAAAGAAATTTAAAATATTGGTATTGTTTTAAATGTTGGTCCCATTTGTTTTGAAGAATTAGCGGCTTCAATTGGTTAATTTGTTCATTTTGAACAAAAAAGAAGAACAACCTCATTTCGATTTGCGATTTGTGAATAGATAATCATATCTAAATAATTAATTACTTTTGAGAAAGTAACGCTAATGAAAAGTAAATTCATTACTTTTTGAAAATGTAATGCCAATGAAAAATCCATTCATTACTTTGAAAAATGTCATTGGAATGTCATTGAAATACTTTTCAAAAATATAATGAGAATGCCATAGCAAAAAATAAAAAAAAATAATTCCAATGGAAAAACAATTCATTACTTTGGAAATCAATGTATACCCTTGCAGTTATAACTATTAAATTTAATTCGAAATTCTTAAAAATACAAAAAATTATATTTCCAATAATATAAGATATGTCAAAAAACACCGAAGCTATAATTTGTTTCATATTATTTTCCCACCAATTTTCCGATCTTTCCTATGGCAGCTATATGTTATAGTCGTCCGATTTTGATAAAATTAAATTCGAAATTCAGAACTAATTAAAAAATGTTATTTCCAAGCGTAGGAGGTTATATGTAAAAAACACCAAAGAAATAATTAAAAACAAAAAAAAAAATTTCCGTTTATTCCTATGGGAGCTATAAGATATAGTTGTCCGATCCGGTTGGTTCCGATTTCAGCCCGATAGCATTAAAACTGAGAGACTAGTTTGCGTAGAAAGGGACAGATAGACGGACATGGCTATCTCGACTCGTCTAGGGGTGCTGATCAAGAATATATATACTTTATGGGGTCGGAAACGTCTCCTTCACTGCGTTGCAAACTTCTGACTGAAATCATTATACCCTCTGCAAGGGTATACATATAATGCTTATGATTACATTCCATTAGAAAATAATAATGGTAATGAAAAATTGTATAACTAATTAAAAAATTAATTGAACGTACCTACGTCGAAGCTTGGGAAAAAAAAATCTGAAGCTATGACCAATTTTATCCATTTCAATTTAAATTAAAGCGGTACCGCACATAAGGGATCTTGGCCATCTTAAGAATTCGCTATTTTTAGTTATCCACCACTAAATCGCCCCTTAAAACATTGGATCAGCATTTAATATGACAAACAACCCTTGTAGCCATCCCTTCTGAAGAAATCGCGGTTTTTGTATATCCACCTCTACAGCTTAACACTATGTAATTCAATTGGTATGACAACCAGACACCTAGGGATATATATGGCCATCTTAAGAATTTGTAACAAATATAATTTTAAATAAGATACTGAATAAAAATTAAAAATCATAAATGTCATTTAAATAATGGGTCATTTTAGAAGTGGACATCAAAAACCGCGAATTCTTAGGATAGCCATATGTATCCCTAGGTGTCTTTTGTGACTTACCAATTGAATTACGAAAGTTTAAGCTTTAGAGGTTGATATAAAATAGCGCGATTTCTTCAGAAGAGACTGCTAGAAGGGTTGTTTGTCATGTTAAATGCTGATCAAATGTGTAATGGGGCGTTTAAGTGGTGGATAACTAAAAACCGCGAATTCTTAGGATGGCCATATGTATCCCTAGGTGTCTTGTTGTTATACCAATTAAATTACAAAAGTTTAAGCTTTAGAGGAGGATATAAAAAACGGCAATTTCTTCAGAAGGGATGGATTCAAGGATTGTTTCTTGTGTGAATGTTGTCTACCTACTTACGGTAGGTAAATATCATTCACAACGCCAAAAAAATGGTATTTTTTTATTTATTGTTTATTTTTATTTTGAATCCTTTCACAACACTGGTAATTCTTGGTTTTATTTATTTAAATACTGTTACTCAATAGAAAATATTAAATTGGTATTTAACGAATCAAAGAAAATGTGATGAACAAGTCTAATCCAAGTCTAACACCACTTCATTGGCGTTGTGAATGATGTTTACCTACCGTATACTAAAGTCACCTAACAACGGTAGGTAAACATCATTCACAACGCCAATGAAATGGTATTTTTGTTATATATATTGTTGATATTTATTTTTAATCCTTTCACAGCACTGGTAATTGTTGGTTTTATTTATTAAATACTGTTATTTAATAGAAAACATTAAAATGGCATTTAATGGATCAAAGAAAATGTGCTGAATAAGTCTAAGCCCAAGTCTAACACCATTTCATTGGAGTTGTGAATGATGTCTACAATATATGGCAAATCAAGAAAAAAGGAAGCTATTCGGCAAGCCAAAGCCAACCTAATAACCAGCTTTAAGATCGTGGTACCCATTCACACTTTCACAATATAATATAAAATGTGGGCTCACACGGACCCACAGACAGACATTCAGACGGACATAAATAGATTGGCTTCCTGTTCCTTCTACCTGTTACATACTTCCTGAAGAATCTAGTATACCCTTTTACTCCACAAGTAACGTGTATAACTATCGGGATGAATCTTTTACTTTTAGGAACATAAATTTTTTAATATTTCAGAATTTCTGTCAATTAAAAAAAAATCGGACGACTATATCATATAGGAACGATCGGCTTCGTTATCTTCGATCAAATTCTACCTTGGTATATAGCATTTTTGTAATATTTAAGGTTTGCGAATTATATTTTATAAAAATCGGTCTACTATATCAAATAGCTGCCATATACAGCACATTGCACAATATAGAAAGATTAGGATAGCTTACCGTTAAAACACATGGCATGCTTGGTGATATAAAGTCTAGTCCCCTCATTCCGTTTCCGTTAAAACAGGATTTTATGTTTTGCATAAATTTACGACGGATTGATTTTAATGAGTAAATGCAGAGTGCAGAGTTATTAGTTGGAGTGTTTCCGTCGCCCTTTGAAAAAACAGCGAAGAGAACATCGTCCTGTATGGATATTCCCAAACTTTGAGCCAAATCCGAGCTAGGTTTTCCCAAGAAACCGGCCTGAACCAAGTTGAATTTAGTGCCACCCTGGGCATCACTTATACATTCGACAGGAATTTCAGTGTATGAATAATAGTTTGAGTCTTCCTGGCAAATTCGCACAAGCTTCGTTATATACTCCTTAGGAGAAGAATGGTGACTGTGCTTTAACTGCGTGGTGAGAAAATATGAAAATCGCTCAGAACTGAATCCATAAACATAGTTCACAAAATAAGTTTCACGTGCGTAAGAATTAATAAAAGTTCTCGTTCCCGTCGTAACCGCCGACGAAGCAATCTGAAACATTTTCGTCTTTTCAAGAGAACGCGAAGCCACGGCTGGGATTTCACTTCGGTATGGTGAATTATTAGTATAAGTAACTCCGACGTACATCACATTTGTCACCGGATGCTGTGGAGGACCCGGTGCTATAAAAGCCACGGTTGATGAATTGGCATCGTTGGCCACAACCGCATCAGGCACTTCATGCTCAATTATGCTAACATTCTGAAGATTACGAACTGTGCATGTACCCTGAAACAGTGATCCGCATGCAATAAGTCGAGAAGTCGCACGATCTATGAGCAAGACCTTATTATAATTGTCCGTCGGACTGCGAACAGCATTTAACGGGCAGTCGAGTATACTGCACTCTACCGAATCGTTTTGGGGTCCCGTTTTAACCGTTTCGGACAGCTCCAAATCAGGCGATAACTGATACAACCTGTTAACACCACCAACAAAGACTCGACCAGTAATGGTGTCCACTAACAAGTGATTTAATTTCGTGTCAAACTTAGCTACATTTGTTATGGTGGTACTGTGGTTTTTTGCATCCTTTACCGTCGCATTTACATCAGTCATATTTATGGATTCATTTTGAATAGCCGTCTTGTCAGACCAAATATTTGCTGCCAGTGTCTGCGAACCTGCTCTTAAGTTCAGCCTGTGGTCATATTTATCTCCTAGAGTTGCTATTAGCAGCACACTAAGAATAAAATTCATCTCCAAAATCGCTCCTTCAACAGGGCGATCCAATTCACGTATTAAATTAAGAGTTCAGATGCAGTTGTCAGTATATTTATCTTATATGTTTCCAGTGTTTTATAATTATTTAATACTTTTTTTAAATTGCTGGCATTCCTGTGGTTTTTTATATCCGCCTCTCCTCAATTGGCTTTTATTTGTCTTTCATTTGTAGCAGTGACTTTTATTACAGAAGTGCAAGGAATTTATTTACTGTTATGGATAGCCACATCATTGAATCTGAAAATTGAATAACATTTTAAATCATATTAAAATTGAAAGTATTAGTTGCATTTTTAACTGTATTTTGTGTACAAATTATTATTATTTCCTCACTCAAAAAAATTGTTTGTATTTTTGATACAATAATATTAAAAGTAGAGTAAGAAGAGAGTGGTATTTAAGATGTAGCGTCAAAATTTCTGATCGGTAGATAACGATTTAATCGTGTTTCGATACCGGCATCTTTCATAACTGCAACCTAAAATGCTATTCGGCAGAATAAAAAACCTTGACATTAATAGCCTGTTCCCATAGAGTTCTATTCACCATCCCCGATCCGTTCAACTGATGGTCCATAAGGTTCTGCCGTTCTGAAAATGTTCCAGTTAGATATATAAAATGTGCCCTTTTTTCTATGAGCAAAGTGTCAGGCTCTTGTTTTGTTTTCATTTCTTACAATAATACTATTTTTTAGCAAAGGCGTTCTAAGAAGGAAGGTGTGTCACTCCTCCGTACTCGTAGAGTAGAAGGGTATACAAGATTCGTCGGAAAGTATGTAACAGGCCGTCTGTCCGTCCGTCCGGATGAACGCTGAGATCTCGGAAACTATAAGAGCTAGGCTATTGAGATGCAGATTCCTGAGCTTCTTACGCAGCGCAATGTGCCACGCCCACTCTAACGCCCACAATCCGCCCAAAACTGTGGCTCCTGCAGTTTTGATGCTAGAACAAAAATGTTAACTGAAATGTATTGTTCTCATCAAAAAGTTTGCCACGCCCACTCTAACGCGCATAACGCTTAAATCTGTCTACCGCCCACATAACCACTTGCATATCTCCATTTCCCTTTAGTCCCATTTGCTGAGTAACGGGTATCTGATAGTCGAGGTACTCGACTGTAGCGTTCTTCCTTGTTTTGCTTATATTGATTGATGCCAATTTTTGGCATCGTTGATTATATTGATTGATGCCAATTTTTGGCATGTAAGTAAGCATGTATTGATAAGCAAAACAAAATCCCGTTTAATTTTTTACAAAATCTTTACCCATGTAAACCAGAGTTTCACTGCGCAAGAGCCCCTTAAATCAGAATAATTAATCTTAATTTTTAAGCTTTTATAGTTAACGAGGTCTCACATACATGCGTAAATGTAACACACCTGCCGTAGCCACTCGACCGGTGTCGTGGCAGACCGCCGGTAGAGGACTCCCAGACTCGAGAGTTAGGCCAGTGGTCACCACTGGTTCATACGGACGACAAGACAGAGAGACAGACTGATAAAGCTAGATAATTGGCTAGTGATCCTGATCCAGTCTTCTCGAAGTCTGTCTGGCGGCCACATTTTTTGACATAATATTTTTAAGAGTAGGTATGAAGCCCATGTGAAATGTGACTTTTATACCCGTTACTCGTATAGTAAAAGGGTATACTATATTCGTCGAAAAGTATGTAATAGGTAGAAGGAAGCGTTACCGACCTCATAAAGTATGTCTATTCTTGGTCAGGATCACTAGCAGAGTCGATCCAGCCATATCCGTCTGACAGTAAGAACGCTGTGATCTCGGAAACTATAAAAGCTACAATACTGGAATAAGGCATGCAGATTCCTAAAATTCTTGCGCAGCGCAACCGTCTAAAAACGTTGGTTCCTACAGTTTCAATGCTAGAATACAAATTTTAACTGAAATTGATTATTCTCATACCTATCGATTGGCCCAAAAAAAGTTTACCACGCCCACTTTAACGCTCACAAACCGACCACAAACTTCAAAAAATCGTAAATATGAACGCGGATATCTCGGAAACTATCAACTTTCTATCGTTGGGATTTCAGATTTAGATTCTGTAGCCTTGTACGCAGCGCAAGTTAGTGACGCGAATATGCCACGCCCACTATAACGCCCACAAACCGCCCAAACATGTGGCGTCCCCAGTTTTCATGCTAGAAAAAAAATTTTAACTGAAATGTATTAGTCTCGTCAATACCTATCGATTGACACAAAAAAGGTTCCCATATACATATCACCACCTCCACTTGGTCCCTTTAGCTGAGTGACGGGTATCTGATAGTCGAGGCACTCGGCTATAGCGTTTTCTCTTGTTTTTATTTTATCAATATCTATCCACGTGCCAAAAATGGTTTAAATCGGACCATTAACTAATACAATCTCGGCTATAACGTTCTGTCTTGTTTGTTTTAGAGTCCTGTTTGTAAGTTTGCAACGCAATGAAAGATACGTTTCCGTCCCTATAACGTTTTGATCATCATCACTAGACCAGTCGACCTAGGCTATCGGAATTAAACTTTCCCAAAAGTCTTCGTTCTATTGCAGGAAGTATATAAGTCGGAACAAGCCGGATCGTACCACTATAACCTTTAGCTTTCAAAGGAATTATTGGAAAAATATTGAAAAAGCATTCTAGCTTCCTTGTTTTTGATGATATATTCTTCTACTCTCGTACAGCTCTCTTTTTTACAATTTCATAGTTTCGAATAAAATTGTATTTCAATCAGACGACTATATCTTATAGCTGACATAGAAATGAGAGAAAATTAATGAACAAATAATAGAAAACAAATACTAGCTTCGTTGCTTTTGATCACATTTTATTCAACTCTGTGGTATAGCAATTTGAAAATTTGTCACAGTTTAAAGACAATAGAAGTATATTTTGATCGGTGTATAAACCTGTTGCGACCGGACTATCGTAGCCGTTTTTCAATTTGTCGGATATACATATATAGTACCTTTCACGACCATAGAATCGAACAGACATTCAGAACCGTTTATAAGGCCTGTTGCTGTTGATCAAGAACAAATACACTTTAAATACCGGAAACTTCGAAACAATGAATAAAATTTATGTACAATGTAAGTCATCTAAACTCTACTTTCATTTCGAACTCAGAATCAGGTGTTTATGTTCTGTTTTTATAAACACAACACTATATTTCATGGCTGAGACCACCTTATTCTTCCCACTATGTACATATTTGTATAACCATTGAACACTCTTGAGCGAACACTGGCCATTGGGCCAGTGCCCAACTAGAGTTTTTTATAAAATGTGTACTTTGATTTGTTCAAAGACTTAAAAAAGTTTAAAAGTATTCCGTTTCCGAACTGTGTTGTGGTGTTGAAAATAACTTGAATGTACTTAAGAGATTAACTAATGCCAGTAGAATTTTTCTTTTCTTTCGATTATCTATACAAGACTTAAAACTATTTGAAGCTGTTTGCAAGGGCTATGCTTTACTTAAGAATATACATGATCCATTTGCTTTCGCATTTTCTAAGATAATGGTGCACCCACATATATATGTATGTATGTATATCAATGTACGTACATACGCTTATTTTTCAGCAATCACAGTCTGAACATATTTCTTTCCTTTGGATATACCACGCCCCTACAATAAAATTTAATCCAAGTACTTTTATGTCAGAAACGTTAAAGACTGCTACAAAGTGTTCCAGTATTTAAATTTTTTAGCAAATAAATATAATTATTTACTCCGATGCACTTTGAACGTATCGTACATATTAATCTATGTATAGATTTGTAGGAAAGGTTTTGAAAATGTATGTTTCTGTAAAAGTCACATATTAATTCTAACAATCGTACAAAAGTCCCAAGTAGGTAAAATTTGCGTTTATAAGACTTCATACAATGTGTATATTTAACAAAGAACCAGACGCTAAAGTTTTTGTTAGCGTAGCGGGGTCGGTTTTTTGATTTTGTATGTATATCTGAATCATTGGGCGGAGAGCACAAATTTGATGGAGATTAGGAAACACGGCTTACTGATTTCTTGTTAAAGACACATTTGATAAGTACCAATTCATTGCATCGCAAAACATTTAACATGGTTTCTTTTCATTTTTGTATTACACTACACATTATATTACACATTATTGTACGAAAACGTTATCGATATTACTATACGCGATTAGCAACAACTAGAGATGAACCATAAACTAACACAACCCCTATCGATCAATGTCTATACTTACGAATGGGTCAAGATTCTAATGTTATCGGTTACATTTATAGCACAGCAACACTTATAGCCTTTGCACACAGCTCCTTAAAATCGCTGTTGCAATTTTAGGGGATTTTTGTTTGGGCCAACAGTGACGCCACGGGAATTTTCCCAAGCTAGATCCGTTTAAACTATTTTAAGCATTTATAAAAAATTTCTCGCATACGATTCTTTGACCATGTCCATTTTTTTAAGTTTGGTCATTTCGTCCAGAAATAGCACAGCAATATTTATTTTCAAGATGATAACGGCGCCATTGCAGTTCAAACGCATATACTTCTCAAATAAACGCCAAGTACAAAAACTCGTAAAAAAATACTGAGTAAAAACAAGTAAAGTAAACAAGTGAAGTACTAAATCGATTTGCGTGTGCTATCCCATGTTCCACTGACGCGAGTTGTAAGCACATTTTCCCGTCTCTTTCGGTCACGTGGATTTCTTATGCAAGAAAAAGTTGCTGAAGCCGAATTTAGTCGCTGATGCGGAAATCCCCTCTGTGTGATTAGGATATTTGAGGGGGCGATGAAAAATTTGCTTAGGTCAAAGAAGTCAGGACAAAATCAGTATATTTCCATTACAAATTAATTCTAACATTAAAACTGTAGGTGCCACAGCTTTGGCCGGCTTAATGGCGTTATAACGCACAGTAGCGCCTAGTAACATGAAATATCTGGACAGGGTGATATGTTAAGAAGTAATTATACAACTTAAATATGGATGGAATAGATTTATAGCGCCGTTTTCTCTTGTGCATGCCAAATTTGAAGTAAAATGTATGCAAACTTAGATGGTGGGTAAACTTAGGTGGGTAAAGTTTATAGGCACATAAATAAATGCGTTCCATATTGTTCAAATCCGACCATTCATTAAGAAATTATGACGAAATATTGAGATCGACGATAGGAGGCGCTCTGTAATGCTGGCTGCTTATCTCCATCTCCCTTACGCCTTCTTAAAAAAACGATGTAAAATAAGATACTTTGATGCATTGATGATTATATTTGCGTGGGCGGTCCCATTTTTCGCTGAAGCTGAGTTATAGCGGCTCTTACGCATCTATTTCTAGCACGTATACTTCTTACGGAAGCAAATATCTCCTAAGCGGAATTTGGTCGCCGAAACGGAAACCCCCTTTGTGAAAACTGTGACGAAAACCGAGCGCCAGCTGTTTGAGAGAGAGAGAGAGGCAAATAAATGGCTAACGCGAAAGGAGGAGGAAAAAAGGCCACCCACAATGAAGGGAAAGCTGGAGAAGCCATCACCTGCCATTTCCGGCATGCACCAGCATAACTAACTGTTCCCAATACTGCTCCCACTCCCTTGGCCAAAGCCCATGTTGTTAAATTGGGAATCAAAGCTGAACAGCATGCGTCGGGAAGATGCTGCCAAGGTAAAGAAGATTATGACATAAACAATTACTCGTAAAGTAAATGGGAATGCCCGATTCGTCTGAAAGTATGTAAAATGTAGAAGGAAGCGTTTCCTTCCCATAAACATACTAGATCATGATCCCTAACCGAGTTGAACAAGCCATATTCGCATATCCGTTTGTCTGTCCGTCCGTATGAACGCTTTGATATCGGAAACTATATGCCACAGCCACTATACCGACCACAAGGTACCCAAAATGGTGGCTCTCGTCAATACCTGACAATTGATCCACTTCCACTCAAAAGTCCACAAGCCGCACAAAATCTTCCGTAACGCTGATATCGAAGAAACTATAAAAGTTAAAAAGTTGGGATTAAGCATTTAGATTTCAGCAAGGTGTCACGCCCACTCTAACGCCTACAAGCCACCCAAAACTGTGAAGCCCACATTTTCAGAGATTAAAATATGAAATAAATCTAGCTTGTCAGTACCTTCCGGCACAGCCAAAATTGTTTAAATCAGACCATTACTTCATACGTAATGATATTACGCACATAATTAGCCAGAACAGTACGATGTAAAATGTATATTTCCATCTAGGTTTCTTCTTTAAATTGATTTAATTGACTTGATTGCTGCTTGACATCAAACCCAGCTGACTGACAGCTACGTGCTAAATGCATACGGCTGAACTGTGTAAACTTCGATCACAAAGAATATGCTTTTTCGACTAGTGAAACTGTTTTTCGAACTGAGTACTTGACTTGAACTGTTTTTTTGATAAGCAAAACAATAATTTTATTGGAAAGCGATACTCACTTTCAATTCACTTTCATTCATAGTAAATTTACCAAGTTGCATAACTTGAATTGCTAAATTGTTGAAAGTTCAGCAGAAAACCTTAAATAACTCATGCCATGCTCCTAAAATTCTTCAATTCAGCAATTACCCTAAGCCTGTTAGGACTAGGGCTTAGTCCGGTTTTTATCATACGATACATTTAACTTTATGGTCTTTCACATTTAGAAACAATGGTTTCCTTTTGAGGTTTGATTATTTGCAACAATTGCTTGCCCCCGTAATAAGTCTAGTACTCAGATCGGCTAAGAGTTACACTAGCCGAAAAATCTTTTTCTTTGCTTTTCCTCCCTATAGAAGCCAGTGCGTCCTTCATCTCCGCTTTAGCTGCCAAATAGCTGGTGGAGGTGGAGTCCTTATTACCCAGTGGAGAGCTCGTGGGAGATCGTTATGGTAGCCCTTCTTAAAATGCTACTTCTATCAGTACAACGTAACCAAATTCTTTTGGCCAGAGCCTACTTTCTTTGCGAGGACACGCCCGCAAGATGTCCATGTTCCCACTGAAATTCTCGAATGGATCTCTTCCAGCACTTCAACTATTCTGTGGACCTGCCTTGTTGTGGTATTGCTTCCTATCGGTGAGGTCCCACAGTAATATTCAACAGCTTTTCGTCGATGTGAGAACTAGCCTTTAGAATCAAAACAAACAAAAGCTGACATGACCCTATAAATAGAGTCAACCAAGTGTAAGCACTTTTGGAGTACTCGGGTCACTCGATAGGCAGACCGACATAGTGTGAAAAGGCTTTAAATTTTCGTAAAATACAAAAATACTAAAACCCGTTTTTACAAGCACAAGCGCATCCGATATTTTGAATTTTTGGTTAACTCAGCTCTAGCTCTTCGGAACACACTCAGTACACATACTCCCACACTTCTCAGTTAGTCCGAGAAAAATGTTCGCGTTACGTGCTGCCTCCAAAGCCGATAAGAATTTGCTTCCATTTTTGGGGCAATTGTGTAAGTAGCATATAATAATGAATGTTTGTAGTTAGATCAATGCAAACTTATATTAAATGAAGAAGTTTTGTACAAGATGTTTATAGAGTTGGATTGATTGAGTAGATGTCGAACATAACCTATACGTGCTGAAAAATGTTACGAGTGAAGAAAAATTATTACATAACGATAATGATTTAAGGTTACTTAAGTGTTATAATACATTATAAGCACATATCGTCCAACGAAACAGTCCCATTAAAACTTTGTACACTTAAATGTTAAAAAAATGTGATTTTCTGTTACGTATAGGATGAGTTTTTACGCCTTAGAAAAGATTTCGGGCTTGTTCAGTGGAGCCACTTTTATATATGCGTTAAAAATTTGGTAACTGTTTTGTTATTTTGTAGTTCCATGTTAAACAATTATTCTGACGTGAAGTAGGTCCTTGTGGGCTCTGACCACCATACATGGGTTTGGAAGAAATGAAAATCGATTTGTACATTCGGCTTGCTTTAAAATAATATTAAAGTTGATTCCGCGATCAGATATGTTCGTATTGCACAATAATAATGACCATGAAGGTGTTCAAAATAAAACTTTTTCGGTTTTATAGGTTTATACCGGGGTGACAAAAATGTTAATAAACATTCGATTAAGGGAGATTTCTGTGTTCCCCGGTTTTAATTTTGTTTCATAATCTTTTCTAATCGGTTGCCGTTGATTCTAGTTAAAGTTTTAAATAATTTGTAGAAAAATAACCTTTGCCATCTTTAAAAAGGCTAAAAAGTATTTTTCGGATTTCAGCTTCCGCCTCCCCTACATAAAACTAAGAACTAAAAAGTGTACATATGTACGATTTGGAATTCATTTCAGCTCGAGGCCATGCTGCCAAGGCTGCAAAGGCTGCGGCTGCCGCCAACGGAAAGATTGTCGCCGTAATTGGTGCTGTCGTCGACGTGCAGTTCGATGATAATTTGCCGCCAATCCTGAACGCCTTGGAAGTCGACAATCGCTCTCCTCGGCTCGTGCTCGAGGTGGCCCAGCACTTGGGAGAAAACACCGTACGCACCATTGCCATGGACGGCACTGAGGGCTTGGTTCGCGGACAGAAGGTTCTCGATACTGGGTATCCAATCCGTATTCCAGTCGGTGCTGAAACCCTGGGCCGCATTATCAATGTGATTGGTACGTAATTTAATTTCTGACTATAGAATAATTTTGACAACTTCTTTGAACAGGCGAGCCCATCGATGAGCGTGGACCAATTGAAACCGACAAGACCGCTGCTATTCACGCTGAGGCTCCTGAATTCGTTGAGATGTCAGTTGAGCAGGAGATTCTTGTCACTGGAATCAAAGTCGTTGATCTCCTGGCTCCTTATGCCAAAGGCGGTAAAATTGGGTTGTTTGGCGGTGCCGGCGTGGGTAAAACTGTGTTGATCATGGAGCTGATTAACAACGTGGCTAAGGCCCATGGTGGATACTCAGTATTTGCGGGAGTCGGCGAACGCACCCGCGAGGGAAACGATTTGTACAATGAGATGATCGAGGGTGGTGTCATTTCACTGAAGGACAAGACCTCCAAGGTGGCCCTGGTCTACGGCCAGATGAACGAGCCTCCAGGTGCCCGTGCCCGTGTTGCTCTTACTGGACTGACCGTTGCCGAGTACTTCCGTGATCAAGAGGGACAGGATGTGTTGCTGTTCATCGACAACATTTTCCGGTTCACTCAAGCTGGGTCAGAGGTGTCCGCGTTGTTGGGCCGTATTCCCTCCGCCGTCGGTTACCAACCAACTTTAGCCACTGACATGGGTTCTATGCAGGAACGTATCACCACCACCAAAAAGGGATCTATTACTTCTGTCCAGGCTATCTATGTGCCCGCTGATGATTTGACTGATCCTGCTCCAGCCACTACTTTCGCTCACTTGGACGCCACCACTGTGCTGTCGCGTGCGATTGCCGAACTGGGTATTTACCCTGCTGTGGATCCCCTGGATTCCACATCTCGAATTATGGACCCCAACATCATTGGACAGGAACACTACAACGTTGCTCGTGGTGTGCAGAAAATCCTACAGGATTACAAATCCCTTCAGGATATCATTGCCATTCTGGGTATGGATGAGTTGTCTGAGGAAGATAAGCTCACAGTTGCTCGCGCTCGGAAGATTCAGCGTTTCTTGTCGCAGCCATTCCAAGTTGCTGAAGTCTTCACTGGGCATGCTGGTAAACTCGTGCCGCTGGAACAAACCATTAAGGGCTTCTCATCGATTCTGGCTGGGGATTACGACCATTTGCCTGAAGTTGCTTTTTACATGGTCGGCCCAATCGAAGAGGTAGTCGAGAAGGCTGACCGTCTGGCAAAGGAAGCTGCATAAACCACTAATGGCGTAATCTTCAAAGTCGTATTACCATAATAATTGAATTATACATTAAATTGTAATCAACTTTGTAACAACAAATTGGAATTCAATACACGTGAAGAACTCAATAAAACATATTTAATTAATTAATTAATTAACCATAAAAAAGTTAAAGACCCTATCTTAATCTTATCTTAACTTATATATATGTATAAGTACTGAGATATATGTATAAGGAAACGGCTCGACATAAAAATTTAAAAAAACAAATTCGAAAGTAATCATTAGGCGTTTGATACGTATAAATAGGTACAATAAGCTGCATAAAAATTCTATTTGTTTTTGTTCTAAATTTTTAATTTTGCCATTTCGCTACTATACATTTTGCAGGTGGCTTTAAAATGTGCTGTTCATAATCTTAAGGCATGCCCGCAAAATTTTTTTGGAAGTTAAGCCTCCCTAATCAATTCCCCCATGTATATGGAAATAGCCAAGTGCCTAGGTGTGACCGCATACTAACAAAATACCGGCTTTCTCTCCAACATCCAAGTAGAATTCTCTTGAAAGCAAGAATACTGAAAACAATATATGCTTGCGTTTTTTTTTTATATCCATTTTGTGTGTGTATGCATATATGCTTTTGCAGCTGGCGGGATAATGAAATTTGCTTAAATATAAATTCCTTTCTTTCAAACCTTTCCGCTACATTATAATTAATAAAATTAATATAAAAATATCTTTTATAGGAAAGTCTTGCAGAAATTTTAGAATTTTGAAATCAAAATGTAAGAGATAATATAAAGGGTAAGTTAAATAAATAGGTCCTTGGGGAAATCCACAAAAAAAAAGCGCCAAAACCTCCACCTTTATGGTAATGTAGAACTTAGGAATGTTTTGAATTTAATTTAAGTAGCAAAGATAAAAGCAAGTTTAAAGTTTAGGACTATGTAACGATCTATTTACAAAATTTCCGCAGGAGACGCTTCAGGCGACCTTGCTAGTCAAATATCAAACAAGGAAGAACGCTGTAGTGGAGTACCTCGACTATTAGACTCCCTAGCTAAAAGGACCAAAGGGAAATGGAGATATGTAAGCAGCAAAGCGAGATTGAAATGCGCCACCTACCCGTGATCTCAATATATAGTTATGTGGGCGGTAGACAGATTTAAGCGTTATGGGAGTTAGGGTGGGCGTGGCAAACTTTTTTTTGGGTCAACCGATAGGTATCAAAACTGTAGGAGCCACCTTTTGGGAGGTTTGTGGGGGTTAGAGTGGGCGTTGCATCCTGCCGAATCAAATTGCGCTGCGCAAGAAGCTCAGGAATCTGCATGCCAAATCCCAACAGCCTAGCTCTTATAGTTTCCGAGATCTCAGCGTTCATACGGGCATGGCTAGATCGACTCGGCTAGTGATCCTGATTACGAATATATATACTTTATGGGGTCGGAAACGCTTATTTCTGCCTGTTACATACTTTCCGACGAATCTAGTATACCCTTTTACTCTACGAGTAACGGGTATAAATTTGAGTGCGGACGGGCGTAGGACGAATCGTACCGGGAGTGCACTTCAAGCTGGTGTAATGCGCCAGAAAAGCCACTTTTCAAAACTTTCGCAAAAGTCTTCTTTTTGTTGCAGGTAGTAACAAGACGGGCAGCTGTATCTTATCCTAAAAATAATACAAATCAGACCATTAGTTAATACTAGGATATCTCGGAAACCATAGAAATAAGCAAGTTGGCATTCAGAGTACAGATTACAGGGAGTACTACGCAGGGCTCCAGTGCCACGAAATACGCAAGAATCTTCATGCTTAACCCAAGCTTTGTAGCGTTTTAGGTCAAACGAAAGGTACCCTGCTAAACTAAATAGTCTAGCTTTTAAAGTTTCCGAGGTCTCAACGTTCATACGGATGGGCGGACATGGCTAGTTCGACTCGGCTAGTGATCCTGATCAGGAATATTTATATACTCTAAAAATTAAATAAAAAATGCGAACTAGTAGCAAGACAAAAAGCTATAACAATTGTAAAAATCAACCGAACTTGTCTGGATACGTTCGTACTATGCAGGGTCTAAATAATTTTGAAGTCGATAAAATTATTAGAGCAATACTAGTAACAAAGCAGGAATTCCATAAAAATATTTCATTGGTAGAACGAATATAAGTTAAAATGTGTAAGTTGAAATCGAACACCAAACAAATCAAACTGACGAGGTTCACGGTTATTCCCCAGACTTTGTTGTTTTTTTGGCTTGCATTTATTTATTTATTGCTCTATTGGATCTACTTGAATTTATATGCGGCGCATAAACGCACAAAATCTAAAAAAAAATATTTCAAAATACTTTAAAAAGAGCAAGAACGTTAAAAAATAAAACTTAAGCGTGTTAGCGATAGAACGGTGTACATTTTTAAACTAAACATTTTGATGATGAAAATATATAAAAGTGATGTTTTGGTTTTATTTTGTCCTTTTCATAAGCCAAGTCTTGGTAAATATAATATCTGCGATAATATAAACACTTTAGGAGCTTTTTGAGCTGCATGCGGCCAGTGGTGATAAATTGGATCTTAGTGGGCACTAGGCCCTCTATGAAATATTGGCTATGAAATTGGCTGCTCTTAGGGTACGGGCTGGGCACTAACACGCTTACATTTTTCCTGCTTTTTTGTATATATCTTGAGATATGGTCGAAAACGCATCCTTCACCCTTTTTACACTCTTAGTCGAAAACAACATACCCTTTTACTCTACAAATAAAAGGTATAAAAATTAAGGATGTTAATGTCATTTGAGGTTTTGTCATTTAATACAAAGGCCACATGGTTAATGTGAATGTTTATTATCATTTTTATTAAGTATTTATTTGTATTTATTAAATCATATATATGGAATAATTTATTTTATATTTGGAATTTTTAAATTGTGTTAATGGACTTTGCATTATGGGCTAAAATTTGTATTGTTTTTAATTTCCTTAAAATATAAGAGACATCCACTAATAAAAATAAGTTTTAAAGGCAATTGCATTCCATGTTTCTTTTATTTTATTTTTTGGATTTGAAAAACATAATTCAGTTTATGAATTAGATATTATTCTAAGAACGTTTACTTTAAGAGCAACAGCTTTTTGATCAATTTAATGTGCCCAAATTCTTTAATATAGTTTGTTTTCATAGTATAAGTATTAAATATTATTTCAGAAGACATTTAGGTCCAAAAAAAGGGAATTTTTGCAACGGCATTTGAATTGATAACCATGTCAATAAGTCCCATTCCTAGATTGACTTATAGTATTAGACAATTTGAAATAATAGTCAATACATCCCAAGCACTGAAAAGACATTGCCTCATAAATATTTAAAGCTAGAGGCGTGGATTGCATTTAAAATAAAACTTCTTGGAGGCGGACCATTAATCCAAATTTTGTTGTAAACTTTTATCAGAAAATTGTTTTTGGCTTTTAAGTAAAAAAGTGTGTGCAGTGTTTGGAAATGCCTTTAAATCCAAATTTGTGTATACATACATATATGATCAGGAAACAGTTGTAATCATTTTACAATGATACAGTCTCATAAATACAATATACATATGCTCGCATTTATGCTTATAACAACGTATTTGGAGTTATACACAAAAAGATCTATTAAGTAAAGGGACTTAACCTAGTACACATTTTATTTATATTTGAATTCGAAAGTAAGGAGAATTGTTGAACGCGGGGGTTCCACAGAAATCATTTCAGCGCTAAATCGTGTAAAATTTATATTGATTAACATAAAAAACGTACGATGAATGAGCGCTCTGCGAATTCTGTGCCCCGCCCCCCCTGAACATATTATTTATGGCTTTCATCAATAGTTGATAAATATTAGATTTCTTTATAAATATTATATAGCAAAGGTGTTTAACATTGAAATTTGATCAAAAAATAAAATAGGAAGAAAATAAAATAATAATTTGTATTTAACTGTAATGTTGCGTTTTTTTTGCACATATGTCGGTATCTAACTAGATAGGTCCCAAGGACCATTTAAAATAACTTTAAAGGTTCTTTGTAAGACAATTCAATGTATCTTTACGACAAGGTTGCACAAAAATAATTATACAATATAACAATAACATATACATATACCAAAAGCGGCACTACAGTCCCACTCGAGCGGAAACATATTTAAAAGTATTAGGTAATTATTTAATCGGCCGTAAGAGATACATAATTAAATACCTCCATAAATGTGACGTATGTAAGTCGAATTACCGGTATTTTGGGAACCAGATGTCTGCATTTCTGTATGTTGTCTGTACAGTCACTTCTATTTTTAGGACACCTTTATATTCTGTTATATGCCATGCGACCAGAAAGGCAACATAAATAAACATACATATGTAGATTTAAGTCATCTAGTGAACTTGAAGTAATCGCATATTTTTAATTAATTCGGCTTAATTTTATATTTCAGTTAGCTAATTTATTTTGTTTTTCATGTACTTAATTTTTCAAAATTTATAATGCTACATTGAGTTACCTAATGCTTTACAGTTTTATAAATCGTTAATGCTAACTTGAGTAATTTGTATTCGCCTGAATTCACACATTTTAATAAGCTATGCATGTGTGTATATACTTGAAGAACGAGAATAAGCGGACTGCACAAACAAATGATTATTTGTATCCTAGTAAGTGATACATGCTTTTTAAATTGTTTGCATTATTTTTAGAAGATTACGTAAAGTGGTTGGAATTATTTTCTTTCTTATTCCAATAGATACAAAGTTATTAATTTTATTTTAAGATTGATATCAATTTTAGTTAAATGATAAACTTGTTTCTTTCCTTGACACCATTCAAATTTACAATCTTATGATTGGTACAGCGATATTTACTTTAAATATTTCATGTACCAATATTATGTTGAATTTTTTATATTTGTGTTGTTTGTTCTTTTAATTTATAAAGTGACCATATTTCTAGGGGATATCTGAAATGCGATACATGCTTTTAATTTTACAGTATATTTTAACAGAGAATAACAGGGGACACAAAACACTTGAATTCAAATAAATAAAATAATAAAATTCGCACTAACAACTTTATTCGCAAATACTATTGCGTCCTCTAATTATAAATATAGCACTTTTATTCATGTGCATAATGACAGTTCATATTCCATTGACTAACGCCCACTACTTTTGGGGTATAAAATCGAATGTAGTAGCTCCGCTTATTTTGGCAGATGCACTTCGATGAAAGTGAACATTTTGCCATTTGTTGTCGCGTTTGTGCCATACGCGTGTTTCCTCAGACTGATGGGTGTGTGCATGTCCTTGCCTATATATAAAAAAACATTTTAATTTTAAGGTGTCGAGGTTATCTGTGTCAAGTACTTACTTATCAATGTACTGTGTAAGTCTGACATAGGCAATGCACGCGGCCTCTTCACCCAATAAGTGCACGTGAGGATTTAATATGGTTGTGTTTATAGCTTTGCAATTCTTACCAAGAACTAAAATGGTCATTTAATAATTTTTTATCTTTCGAATATAGTTTTATTGAACTCACCATTTTCAAAGTAAAATTTATGAAAATCAATTCCTTCGACAAGATTACCCAAAGCTTCTGGCTCGAAGGCAGTTAAATGGGGATCACATATTTTGCTGAAGAATAAAAATTATTTTTTATTGAACACATATTTAAATTAACATTTTTGATCAGATTTTGTATACATATTGTACATTGCTTATGTTGTGTGGATAGCATTATTATTTTTGTTTTTTAATAGACATCAGCAATGTTTTGTAGCCTTTGTCTTACTTCACCACAAACTTGATTTAATTTTCTATACATAATTTAGTTTAAACTATAGGCTAGCTTTATTTTAAAAAATTATTAAATCTTTTGCGTTTTGAGGAGGCGGAGAAGAACGTAGCACTAATGGCCCGTTTAACACTATGTTTCTTGAACAGGATTAAACAACTTACAAAAAAGACATAACCTCAAAAACTTCAAAAATAACTTGAACTTTTTTTTAAACCTTAAAAGTAAATGAAATGGATGTAGCTCAAGGCCACAGTAGCTATAGCTGCAAAAAAAACATAGGTTATAGGTAAATTGCAGTTGCCTTTTAACCTGAGAATAAATAAATAAGCTAAATAGCAAAGTTTTTTGAAACAATGACAAATGTTTGTGTAATATTTCAAACTTACGTGTATCCATCAAAGTCGCCACTGTTAATCGCTTCAATTAACTGTTCAGTAATCTTTATTATTTCTTGTCGTCTAGCTGCTTTGTTGATAGACAATTTTTTATTTAGGTTATTTAGGGTTTAATTGTTTAGTTGATTATGCTAAAACTAGGTATATCTCCGTCTCATATTTATCTACCCATGAATTCTAAAACACTCTGATTCTTTATAAGGTAATACACAGGGATTCCACAGAAATCTCTTCAGTTGTGTAAAATGTATGTTGATGTCTATACATTAGGGTGGACTTGTCTAAGGTAAAATGAGCTCACCAACTTAAACAGTAGTTTTCTGTACAAAATAAGTTAATGCAAAAAATTTTATTTGGAAGTTTATGCGGTGCGCAAAAAAATGATTCTTCCTTTCCTTAATTTGTCAACTTTTTTGTTCTGATCGAGTAAGGGAAATAAAGAGTAGCTAATTTCATGAGTTAAATCAGTTCGAAATAGACTAGTCTTCTGTCTCTAAACCCATAAGAATCGTGTTCGGTCCCCGAGGAATCCATTTTTTGTTGTCTATTGTGGTATTCACATTGCAATAGCAAATATATTTTATAACTTTTAGGATCAAAGCATAAATCAATTTGAATGTACAAGTTCTAATCTATTAAATAAAGGCTAAGGTTATTACAAGAAAACTGTCAAAGTTAAATATCAAGTCTACGGCATCTAGACGAATATAAAATATGCCTAAAAGTCTTAAATGCCATTTCGCACCGACTAAAACTTGTTTTTTTCTTTTGTATGTTATTCCTTAAGAATACCAAAGGAATATATTTACTGGGGTGACAGTATGACAATTTCATACAAAAAAAAGTCCGCCCCAATGTACGTAAGAAAATTAGTAACATTCAGAGTTTTGCGATTCCTGTGACACCCCGATGTGGCAGCCCATATTAATATATTCCTAACGTAGCATATAAGTTCTAGCCATCAAAAAATTAAGAGCCTTGAAACATGCGAAGTACATTTCATTAAAGACCTAAATTATTATATATAATCAACATTTTATTTTTTACCCAAAAAATATCAATTAGTTTTTAACCAAAAAATTTCGATCAAAAAATAATTTTTTCGACCAAAGCTGAACACAGATTTTTTGTAATGTAATGTTTTAATAGATTCGAATTATATCTTGTTATGTTTATCAAACATTTTCAAGAGATTTTCAAATATTTTTTAAAAATATATTTCGTTACAATATGTTTTTGATCTATATATGAAGTTAGAACAGAAAGATCATTCTTGGTTTGTAAAAGTGAATAAATAAACCTATGATTTGCCGACAATTATTGTTTGATTTTGTTACTATTTAAATTTGTTATTTATTGTAAAAGTCGACGCTTTCTAATTGGTTTAAAAATCCTGGTGCATTTATTACAGACAGTTTTTTTAGGTTCCGGACTTTTATCTTTTTGTTTATAGTTTGTATGCTTTTAAAATACGTTGTTTTAAAAAGTCTTTGGATTTTAGACTAGTCTTATTTTTTCTTTGGGGTTTTTGTTAAATATTCTTCCAGAAATGTTTGTCCTAGAATGTTTAGAATTAATTGGCATTTATGTATGTTTAGATTGACTATTGTAAGAAAACATATTTTTAAAAAATTTATAAAAATCGTCTTATGAATTGAATAGTTGGTTTCCTTGGTTCAATTTCAATCCCTTCAAATAATGCATCACTGAAAAAGCTTTCGACTATACACCTTTTAATCCAAAACACACACACAAAAAAAATGCATACATTTTTTATCGATATGTTTTCTTTCACGTACAAATTACATTTTTTTAAGCGATTAAGTAAAATTCAACAAAATAAATTTTATATCGTCATTTTTTTTTATTCAAATTGATTAATATTATTTACGGTCCCTGCATTTTTTTTTTTTATCGAGCCGAGGGATGAAGGAAGAAGCTGGAAATACCCTTGCAGACCTATATGTATATGTTTGGCCAGAGCTTGCTAGAAATGAAACTTCATAGCAATTGGAGCTTATAAAATATTAAAGTTGAAATAAACAACATTCCAAAATTTTGTTTTACTTGTAAATCATCAACTGGTTTTGATTTCAGAGTGCCAGAACATTAATTAATAACAAAATTGAGCTGCTAAGCGCCTTTACAGAGCTTGCTTTGAGTATTACATAAGCTGTTTAGGTTTTGCTTATGTCTGAGATTATAAAATTGCATCTTTAGTACTTAGTAGGGAGTATGATTCCCTGTCAAAGTTAGCCCGCACATTGACGGTTGAAAAAACAAAATTTATAAGCAGGGACTTTGTCTGTTCGAAAAATGTTAGCCGAAACTCGAGAAATTGGCACATTTAGGTACTTAGCACCCTTATCGGGTTTGGTTAGAATCGTTTTCTGTAAGACCTTCGTATAAGGCGGTATTCTCATCATTGCAAGTATGTAAACATTATTTTTCACCTTCGTAATTATTTTGTTTCCTTGGGCCATTTAAAATTTCCTTCTTTTATTTTCTATTCAATTTTTCTTTTATTCCGAAAAATTCAACGTAATTGGTATCCATGCCGACAACCATTACCAATATTTTTACATTTTAAGATATAATAAGACATGTCAGCCTAACTTAAAAAAAGTCTGCCTTATTCTCAATTCTTATTAGGACAAAACATTTAAGTATTTATTGGAGTTCGCCTTGGTTTATAATAGAAAAGTGTTAACGGAAAAGTCTGAGGGAACAAAATATATAGGATATAAGCGTCGTTTTTGCAGTATAATTAATTGAAAATTATTGTGGTTCTAGTAATGATATTCAATACTCATCAGCAAAGTGCAAAAGGCATTATAAGTATAAAGGACATTGCATATAATTGGAACATGGTCAGCATGCACTTATACAAGCAAACGATTATGAAATTCTAGTTGACAAATATATATTTGTTGTGTATTTATGGATCTGGAAAGGGCTTCTGAATTAAAATCAACTCTACAATTTGTGGTCTTGTTGCCTGTCCTCTATAGAAGAAGGCATACAAGTTGAGACCACCTCAAAATGAGAATTTTACATTTAAAGTCATTTTAGACTTGGAACTCGAAACATTTTTTGGTATACATACATACCTGACGAGCACTGCGAGTTTCCTGTATTTTGCTGGCAAGTTTTTGCAGGACACAGTATCCTTATATCTAAAACGCACATTTAGTTTTGTATAAAAATCGATGTTTTATACAAATTGTAAGTGTTTTTAGTAAAATAATCACAAGAGAAGAATTTTTTGTAAAGAAAGCAATGAAAATTATTCCCAAGTGGTTAGGAATATGGAATGAATTGTAGTCTACGGAGTGGGCGAAAATGAGTATGCACTTTAAAACCCTGCTTAAAATAAACATGGATGTAAAAAATATGCATAAATTTTAGATCGAAATACATTCTTTTATAAAAGACGCCGTAACTAGTTACCTTGTTAACTACTTGAAAGATAAATATGCCCCCAGTTGGCGTCACTGCTGACTGTGACAGTACTGACTAAGGGGCATTCGGTCAAATGAATTGCAATAACAAAAAATCAATCTAAAACAAAAACTGTGGGCCGCACAGACTTTTGGCGTGTAAATGGATATTGCTTACACAGTGCAACCCGGAAAATGTAACAGCAGCTTGGATTTCAAATTCTGTAGGTGCTCAATTAACCAGGCTAACCTCTATTTGGGGTTTCTCTGAGTTAGCTCGCGTTTTGATACTATTGCGACTTAAATTTTTGGTATAAGACTTGATTTATAAGGCAATGTTTCTAAAGAAAATAAGGAATTTGGTATTCAATATGGAGTTTTTCCAAGATTGTTTCACAATACCGTCTTTTTTCAAAAACGATGATATTTATTTGGAATCCTTAGTGTCGTACCTATAATAACTCTGAAGACTTAAATACAAACATATGCTTTTAAGATAAATCCAATTTTTACTTGAAATCTATACATCGCTATATTATCCAAACGCAAGCTAAGGGAGAGGACAATTAAAGGGGGTTTAAATCTTTTCAAATCGTAATGTCAGGCTTTGAAATCCAAAACGCGGTTACACTCGATAACGTTTAAAACGTTGCACACTAAAAAATGCAGTCCACATTAAAGACATTCTTAAAATAAGAAAAAGCTGAGTCGGTCTATACATGTTTGTTTGTTTAATCGGAAACTATACTTTGGTTAGCTGAGTAACAGTTATGTGACAGTCTTATTTTCTCAATCTCTCTAATGAGCTGCATGTGACCGCTTTTCGAAGGCGGTCGTGGGTTCGATCTCCGGAGAAGAATGCATGAGTTATTCGTAATTATCCTTGAGATTAAATATACATTGTCAGTCTATAAAGTTTAATAAGGTTAAGAAAATATTTAAAAAAAATACAAAATCAAGAGAGAGCGCTATAATCGAGTGCCTCGACTATCAGATACTCGTTACCAAAGATAATATAGACTACAAGATGAGTAACAACCATACAACGGAACGAACAGAAAGATTTTTAGTGTGGATTATCGATCTCTATAGTGAGCGTTGTCCGTGAAAGATTCTTCGGCTGTGTTAGTGTATAATTTCGTTTGCTCTGCTGCAAAAAAGGGTCAACGTCGCATTTGACTAACGCGCAGTAAAAAAAACGATGTGGGCCAGTCGCTCCTTCAGATATATTTTTAATGTGTGTAAAATACATATCAAGGTTTTTGAAAAAGTTTTAATAACAATAAAAGCAAGAGTACATTAATCAATTTATAACAAATCGATTCGTAACGTGTACTCGAGAGACCGATTTTTCATCTTGGTTTGATGAATATGATGAATGCTTTTCACATCAAGGTTCTTGCAAGTTGTTTTTTTAGCAGGCTGCAAAAGCCACAGCACTAAGCCCCGCCCAGAGCCTAAATTTTTCAATATTTTGTAAAAATGTAAATGAGAGTTTGTTTCGGCGCTAGCAACAAGCAAGCAAATCTCCATCCCTCTCGCACTCTCTTTAGCTTAGTAACGGGTATCTAACAGTCGAGGCTAACGACTAAGCGATTTTTCTTGTTTTGAAGTTGTTTAGCTGAGTAGGGGTATCTGACTGTCGAGGCACTTGACTATAGTTTTATTTTTGTTTATTTTTAAATATATTATTATATTTTCATATTTTTAAAAAGGTTATAAGTAAAGAATAAACGTTCTTCAATTAAGAAGAATGCTTTTAAATCAAGACCAGTTTTTCTTGAGATGAAGAACATTTTGTCCTAACTAAAAAACATTCGTTCTTAACACATTTTTATGATATTAATTTTAATATTTTCTAAATTTCAGAATCTCAGTGTCATATGGACACATCTACATTGACTTTAAGTGTAAGCGTTCTGTAATTATTACAAAAATGTTCTTCCGAGTTCTTTGTTTTATAAAATTTAAAAGTTTACCCTGTTGGAAAAATTTACTTTGTTGAAAAAGATTAGTGAAAAAACATGTTACAAACGAATCCGCTTCGAAATAGGATAAGTATACAATACATTTTACGTTTTATTCTATAAACTTGTTTGACAGCCATAGCCCAGGTATGGATTATATGAATGTCGCCAACAGAAGCAGCACAGGGGTGGCTCGCGGGATTGGAAATGCCTTTTCCGTAGCTCTGCTACTGTTCTACCACTGCTCTGTTCACACACGTAGTATAGAACAATAGTCGACACTCACACTTCAACACGTTTCGCTGAGAAACGCACAGCACACATACAAGTTCCAACAAATTAATGTAACATCGGATATTGATGTCTCACTCTACAAAAAAAAAAGAAATGACCACAAAATAAAAACCCTATAATGCGATGACTTCCTTCAACAACGATTCCATAAATCAAAACTCAGCCATGGTGACATTTAATATATAATATTTTAATATTTTAATATATATATATATTATATATATAAATTTATATATATATATATATATTAATAATAATGGTAATATTTTAATATGTCGACAGTATGGATTCAAATTTAAGATAATTTAGTGTTCTTAAAAGAACATATTATAAACATCAGGATTTCATTAAAATATAGTCCGTTCAGCTGAATTTTTAGGATTATGTATTTAACACTTTTTTGGTACAATTTCGGTTTTGTGACTAATCGTCAATAGTCAATCAATACAGTCAAATAAATATTATTAAAAAGGTACTTTGCTTGCATTATAGTTTTAATCCAAATGCAGGAGATTCAAAGCTGAAATGAAAAAAAAAGACTCTTGGCAATCGACAAAAATCTTTTGAATATAAAATATTTGTTTTGTGAATAACCAGAAGCGCTCGTACATGCTAATAGTTTTCAATGTCGATGCCAATGCTGGCAAGAATATACAATACTACACATAATTTACATACGCAATGTAACCTATACTAAACTTTTTAGTGAAGTAACTTTTTAAAATCATATTAACATAGCGCTGTACATTTAAGTACTTTATATTTGTTTTATTGGAAAATGGACGGATGATGATTAAATGAAGGTGCGTTATATCTATTTGATGTTTCTTTTACAAATAAGAAATGATAATTGTATATATTACAGAAACTCAAAAATGCAGAATAAGATTTACCTTCTGGCTCTTTTGATATGACTGTGGTACTGCGATCAACGATTCCTTTTTTATCTTCTAGGGAAAACAAAAAAATTTTATATTTAAAATTGCAAGTGTACCAATATGTCCCTTATGGTAATTCTGGTAAGGTAATGAGTGGTGTTTGTGTAGAGAGTGCTTTCATTTGTTCGAATTCTCTTCCAACCAACGTCGGTTAGTTCAGGTCAAGTTAAGTGTTAGGGAGTACAATTGGTATTCATGATGCGTTGCTTATTTACAATTTTCAAGATTTAAAAAAAATAAGGTTATGCAATTATGTTGATATAAAAGATTGAATTTAAAAAGCAGCATTGACTTATAAGGTTGAAAGTCTAGGACTCACTGCAATAAGAAAGTCTGTCAAAAGAATATTTGCAATTATACAAATTGAAAATTGAAATGTTTATTATTATTATATTCAGGGTTGTACTGGGCTGACGTTCAAAGCTTTGAAATCTAAAACAATGTTGTTACCTCTTGTAAATATATATATATATAATGTCATACAACACATGACATTTAAGTGTCTTAATTTTTGTCAATAACTTAAAAACGCAAAATGCCTTAAGTCGGAATTTATAAAAAAAAATTGAATAATTATAAGTGCCTAACAGTAGTTTATACAAATAAGATCAACAAAGTACGTGGCTTAATTTTTAAGGTAAAATAATATTTTCAGAAGTGAGTTAACAGTTTATGAATAAAATATGGCACATTCTAATGAAAAAAATGGTACCTACAAAAATGTGCTTTAGTATTTTTTTTATTATAATATGTTTAATCGTTTTTTTCAAATTTTTTTTACCAAAATATTAAAGTTAAATTTAGAGGATTGAGTTTAAGCGCCATTCAGTCTGCCACCATCGTATGGATCGTATGAATGAAATCGTGCAAAAATAGTTATATAAACAAGCTTCTAACGATAGTTATATAGATAAAATAATGAATCCATCCATCTATGAATAAGCTATTTATGACAAATCTAGCCCAGCTTTCTATAATCCTGAGCAAGTTAAATACATCTTGTCAAAATGTCAGCCTGCAAGGGTAATTGAAACTTCATTCTTGGTTGATAAATAGCTAAGTTATGATGGCATTTAAATATATTCACAACATATATTTATGAAAATATTTAAAATTAAGGGTTGACTTTACAAAACATGCACTCACAAAAAACAGTTTACGTCAAAGAGGACAGGGCCAGCTTCTTTGGGAACATATAAAGGCATTACTAATTTCGGAAGCACAAAAAAAGATTACAGAATATTTTAAGTTCCATTTTGAAATATTTTATGTAAACCTTTTTTGAACTTTAAATCTTGTCACTTATAATAAACTCTCTGGTAATGTCCGATTCCTTCCTTCCCATCAAGTAAAAAAGAACAATATCGTATTTAATATAAAATATGCCAAATTTAATTATGGAGCTTAGAAAAATATCTATGTGCTTTTACGGGTTAGTTTTGTTTTATTTACTTATTAAAAAAGCTTCACCTAGCACTGTGTATTGGTGCAAAGCTCTAGCGGTTGATTGTGGTCCTGACATACCTATCTAGTTCACTAGTGTTCGCAACAACTTGACAGTTTTAGTTTTCTATAAATGAATGTGAAAGGAAATTTTAAATATAATATTTACCTTTAATGTCATCGTCTTCAAGGGTAGTGCTAGAAGAATCTGTAGATTCCTTAACTTGAGATCCGTCACCCTTTTTGGTAATCATACTTCTGCCTGTAAAATACACGTATATTTTCATTAAAATTTGACATCACTTTAGGTGACAATCGTTCAAACTAAATCATTTTAATATAAACATTTCGGGCGTGCTCTTGTATTCACATTAGTTTTGCGATTTGCAAAAAAAATTTCGATTTCGTAACGTGTTTTTATTTTCAAAGTTTTGGTTATTGTTTGTCCTCGGAATGTTTTATTTTGTCACCGTTTCGTTTTACTGCAATTAAATTTTATTTTGGCCAAATTAAAATTTTTTTTTAAAATCAAAATATTATCCAAAAATCTATTCCGCCATGCCTTTAACAGCTTGTTTTTCCAATCAGCCGCAACAAAAATTAGTTTTTGTATTTAATTTAAAAGATGCCGTTTATGAAATACGTCTAAATCTTACACTTTTTTCCCCGTCTGGCACAAATATTTTAAACTTCAACTACCCCTCCAATACTCTAGTAGCCATAGCCATTGTGTCTTCCCTTCGGCAAATACAAAGGCAAATTCATCTCGTGTTTTGTTGTAGTGGCTTTCGCTCTCTTTGCTCCCGCCCATAACCAAAAACCTAAACAAAATCTTAAAAAAAATGCTAGTTTTAAAAATAAAGTATATATGTACTTTTTATACCCTTGCAAAGGGGATAATGATTTTAGTCAGAAGTTTGCAACGCAGTGACGGAGACCTTTCCGACCTCATAAAATGTATATGTTCTTGAACAGCATCACTAGACGAGTTGATCTAGCCATGTCCGTCTGTCCGTTTCTACTCGAACTAATCGCTCAGCTTAAAAGCTACTCCGATGAAACCTTCCAAAAGGTTGTATATCTATTGCAGGTAGTATATAAGTCGGAACGATCAGACAACTATATCCTATAGCTTGGGAACTAGAAAGTAGATTCTTCGCTTCTTGCGCGGTAGGGTGGCAAGCCAATAAAGTGCGCTATCTTTGAAACATACGCTTTTCTACTTGTGTATCTCTTTCTCCTACGCACTCCCTGAGTGCTTCCAGTACACTTAGCTGTAAATGTTTCACATTAAACTGAGTAGTATTTTAAATTTGAAAACAAGAGAGAACCCTATAGTCGATGCCGTGGTACAATTACACAAGGTAGTCCCGTCGATTGTCTAATCGATCGGCTTTCAGTCCGTTAACGTGTTACAGCGATATTGATACCTTGAGTACCTTGTATAGGGTCCTCTCTTGTTTTAAAATTTAAAATACTACTGAACTAAATGTGAATCATTTACAGCAAGGAAAGTTTTTGCAGTCGACAACACTTTCTCTTGGGAATTGTGCAGCACTAGTGTTGAAATTATACAATCCTGTCATTAAACAGCTATCTAAAATTTCCAAATACATTGCATTTTGTGTCTATTGCAACTACTGTTTGTTTCTTGGATGCTATGCTTTAAATGTATACTGTAATGTATGTATGTATAATAATCGGGCCTTTGGCTGAGAAACAGAGGCAAAGTTAAATCTTTTGTTAAAAGTTTGTCACTGCAGTCAGCTGTTGTAAGGCTTTTAACCACATGTTCGTGTTTTTATGACCTTCTCTTTCTTCTAATACTAACAATGCTTTGGTAATTGTCGCGGACTTCGTCGCGGTGGTTATTGCTACTAATATAATAAATTCTTCCAACCGCATTCGTTAGGATTTTGTTTGCGTATTTCTCTGACATTCCCGTTTTTACCGATATTACCAAGTGTTTGTATTAAAAAACACGAAAGATACCCGTTACTCAGCTAAAGGGACCAAAGGGAGATGGAGATATGCAAGCAGCAAAGCGAGATTGAAAAGCGCCACCTATATCTCAATATATGGTTTTGTGGGCGGCAGACAGACTTAAGCGTTATGGGCGTTATCAGCGTTCATATTTACGGTTTTTTGAAGTTTGTGGGCGTTAAAGTGGGCGTGGCAAACTTTTTTTGGGTCAATCGATATGTATTGATAAAAACAATAAATTTGAGTTAAAATTTTTGTTCTAGCATTAAAACTGTAGGAGCCACAGTTTTGGGTGGTTTGTGGGCGTGCCACACTAACAAAACAAACATGCGCTGCGCAAGAATCTAAGAAATATGCATGCCTCATCCCAGTATTGTAGCTTTTATAGTTTCCGAGATCACAGCGTTCATAGGGACAGACGGACATGGCTAGATCGACTCGGCTAGTGATCCTGATCAAGAATATATATACTTTATGGGGTCGGAAACGCTTCCTTCTACCTGTTACACACTTTCCGACGAATATAGTATACCCATTTACTCTACGAGTAACGGGTATAATTACTTACTGGAAAAATTTCTGGTAGCCAGCATGGTCGTAAGTATGGCTCCCTTTAGCTTACGACGCGCATTAAACTTCTTGAGACAGTCTACGGTTTCTTGTCGATGCACAACGGAAGCCACGCGTTCTCGTTGCTGTAAATTCGAATGTACATTTATTTCTGAATCATTCTAAGTCGTTTTGTCTGTACTTACACAAATCCATGGGTGCTTTAAAGCCTCGGCGGCGGTTATTCGTTTATTTGGATTTACTGTGAGCATTTGATTGATAAGATTTTTTGCTTCTGGGGTCACCGTATCCCATTCTGGAGACGGATACTTAAATAAAATAACATTTAAGGATAAGCACAAATAAGTTGTTCAAGATTCCATACATCATAAGCTCCTGCTTTAATCTGCGAGTACAGTCGGTGCTGATCCTCGTCCCAGAATGGTGGGTAACCAACAAGAAGTATGTAAAGAATAACTCCTGTGATAAAAAAAAGTAAGATGCTGAATTATGCAATACGGCCTTAGATTTTCATGCACGTGAATAAGAAGAACAATAATTGCTTACCACATGCCCATATATCTACCGATTTGCCATAGGGCTCCTTTTTCAATACCTCTGGCGACAGATATCCTGGAGTGCCAGCAAATCCAAACCAAGCCTGATGATCGCCTTGAACTTCAATGGCTAGACCAAAGTCAGCGAGTTTCACTGCTGCACCCTTTGCCTTACTAGCTAATAGTAAATTCTCTGGTTTCAGATCTCGATGCACCACACCATTTTGGTGGCAGTGATTGACCGATTCCAATATTTGTTGAATACAATGTGATGCATCAGCCTCTGAATAAAATTCGCGTGCAACAATATCTTCGAAAAGTTCACCACCAGTTACACTGCAAATGTATGTATGCATAGTCAAATTTTGTGGGTGTGTTGTCTTAATTTAAATTTAGTTTATATTTCGAATAACAATAGCGGAAACAAACTCTTTACTATAATAAAGTGTTCATATTTCGCTGAAAAAAATTTTGTTCATACATATGTATGAACGATCGGAGGGAAAAGGATGAAGTATGAATCTCAATAAACAATAGTCAAGTCATTGCAATATGTATAAGCGTTTGTTAGAAATTCATATTTTTTAAAGATTTTTGGAAGTAGACAACGGGAATATTTTGGAAAGTATTTGTATGCAGTTTGTTGCTTACAGATCAAAAACAAGGTAGTGATAGTTCTCCTCCTGTATACTGTCATGCAATCGCACTGAAATAATAAAAAAGTTTCAATTAATTATTTTAAGCTGTACATTTCTGCTGCATATTTAGTACATCAAATAATAGTTCAAGAGGTAACATCGATTGCAGGTCTTTTAAGTGCGACTGTTTAATTTTCAAAAATATAAATCAATAATTAAAAGACACCATCGTGTATTTCGGTTTTCTTAAGGTAGAGTTAGCAGTAATAAAACAGTTTGTTATTCTTACACAATGATGGTAGTCGGAAACCCTGTTCCCGTTCAGAGGGCTCAAAAATTACACTTTTTAACAGTTTGAAATTTACACAACAGAATTGTTTCTGCATCAATATTACAACAACCGTGATTTCTGACTTCTAAAAGGGCAAGATTATAGCGCTTTGGTCGACGTCTATGTCCTATCTAAAGATCGGCTAATCTTGCGCAGAGTGAATTTGTTTCATATTATTTTCCCACCAATTTTCCAATCGTTCCTATGGCAGCTATATGATATAACCGTCCGATTTTGATCAAATTAAATTCGAAATTCAGATCTATTTAAAAAATGTTATTTCCAAGCGTAGGAGGTTATATGTTAAAAAACACCGAAGCTGTAATTTGTTTCATATTATTTTCCAACCAATTCTCCGATTGTTTCTATGGCAGCTATATGATATAGTCGTCCGATTTTGATAAAATTAAATTTAAAATTCAGAACTAATTAAAATATGTTATTTCCAAGCGTAGGAGGTTATCTGTTAAAAAACACCGAAGCTATAATTTGTTTCACATTATTTTCCCACCAATTTTCCGATCGTTCCTATGGCAGCTATATGATATAGTCGTCCCATTTTGATGGAATTAAATTCGAAATTCAGAACTAATTAAAAAATGTTATTTCCAAGCGTAGGAGGTTAGCCCCTTTGGGAGCTATACGATATAGTTGTCTGATCCGGCCGGTTCCGACTTATATACTACCTGCAAAAGAAAGAAGGCTTTTGGGAAAGTTTCAGCCCGATAGCTTTAAAACTGAGTTACTAGCTTGCGTAGAAATGGACGGACGGACGGACATGGCTAGATCGACTCGTCTAGTCATGCTGATCAAGAATATATATACTTATAGGGTCGGAAACGTCTCCTTCAATGCGTTGCGAACTTCTGACTGAAATCATTATACCCTCTGCAAGGGTATAAAAACGCAATTTTAAGGCCCTATCTGAACCTGTATTTTTAACTTTCGTTTTACTTTTAGCCCACAAAAAATGTTTCTTCGCTTTTCGGAAATCACAACTTTTCTTTTGTTTAAAATTACACTTAATGTTGAGTAATAGCTAAACGTATTATTTATTTGATTGTCCTCAACCTGCTCCGCCCAGTTTTTGTAGATATAAATGGTCTATTATTGACATATAAGCTAAGGAGATATTAAAAATGTTAAGTATTGATGAAAATAACATAAAACTTTTTGACAAGCCCCACAATCTCTGCAACGAATTATAATAAATAATATACATACAAATTGTGCACTTCACATACCTATGTTGGGATGGTGTAATTTTCTGCAGATCCTTGCTTCACGTTCCAATTTTTGAAAGTCTGAATTAAATATAATAAAAAACAAATTTTGCGTTATATATTTAAGTACTTTGCAAGGTAAAGCGAATAGGTATTACCAAAAACTAACAAGGAATTTAATTGTGTTGTTGTATGTTATGTGTTAAGAGGTGTTTTTGTTTGACGAACATAGATTGCGTCGGCCTTTGCTCCTTACCTCTTGCAGTTAACTTTTTTGTATTTATAATTTTTGCAGCAAATTCAAATCCAGTTGACTTTTGGACGCATCTTTTAACTATTGAAAATGCCCCTCTGAAATATAATTTAATTATTGTAATATAATCTGTTAGTTATAACCATCTTAATTACATTGACTCTGTTTAACTTACTTTCCCAGTTCTTCTTTGATGTCGTAGTTGTCCGAAAAACGCGTACAGGCTGCTGGTGCAGCCATCGCGATGGCACACTTAAGAAAATCTATTGCGACTATAAATCTTCAACAAGTCCCTAGAAGTGCCTTCTCAGGTGTTCTAAGGGTTGTTCTCTAAATATTTAAAAAATATAAGAATATTAGTTAAAATGTTTCAGAAAAACAGGTAATGGGTTTATATTTTAAAGATTTAGGTTGAAAAGGGTGGACTTAGTTTACGAAGGGCTAACGTCTACAAGCTCTGCAGCTAGAACCATATGTTTTTAAAATCATACGTATTTTACAGAAACGTTATAGACCGTACATATGCGAAGCATTTTTAATAAATATACCAATAGATCCTGTTCATATTACTATCTCCTTAACTTTTCGATCGTGCGATTAAAAAACCATTTAATACTAAATTCTAAAATCTAAAAAAAAATGGTATAGGGGAGAGTAGAAGAAAATCGAAATTTTATACAGTACTATATTTTTGTCCCTGCCATTTATTTCTTATACCATTTGTTTCCTTCATTTTATAAAATAAATATTAATCGTGGTGTTACAAAATTAAAAAGAAATAACCAGACTAAAAAATATGTCCAAGGTATTTTCATTTTTCCTATAATTTACACGGGAGTTATAGGATATATATTTTCGACCCGGCCTGTTACGACTTTTATACTACCAACCATTAAAAAAGTCTCTTGGAAACTGTTCATTCAGATAGTTTTACGACTGGGCCTAACTTGCTTAGAAACTGATAGACGTAGTTAGGTCGATTCGATTGTTGATGATGAACACAAATATATATACTTTGAGACCGAAAATGTCTCCTTTGCAAAGTTGCAATCTTTTGACTGAAATTAAAATACACACTGCAAGGTTTATACCCTTATAATTAAATTGGTTTAACAAGGGTTTCCAATTTCTGCGGTGCTACAACTATAACATTATTTCTACTTCGTACTGGTGACCTTGCTTTTTCAGTTGCACGCTGGAGACTCCCGCCATCCAATCACGACCAAAAATATTCTCTGGTCAACATGCCGATGTGGTAATCGGTTCAATCCTGGCTGCTACCTTAGGTTAATCCATAGCTCAGTGGCCGACCGGCGATCAGGTCCAGCGACCAGCTTTCGTGCAGGACTCGGCGGGTAGATCAGGAATTAGTTAATTTACTCTTCGGTGGGATACATTAAGATACAGGCAGTAGGAAGCCTTGTTGTTGGCGAAACTCGTTCGGAAGCGACCTACGTTTTTGGTGGCAAGTCCCGGCCTATCAACCAAAATGAAGCAGCACTTACGGCACTTAGCTTTCTTGAATAATTAGGTGGGGTAACTTAGGTAAATAACTTAATATACAAAATATAAAATTATCTCCAATTATTGCAATGAATATATTCATTCGGGTTGGTCACACTTTTCACTAATTTTCTTCCCCAGCTCGTAGCGGCGTTTTGAGAAAAGCCAAAATTGACTAACGCAATTGGAAAAATACACACCCGCTTAGATTACTATTGATTTACTGGTTTTTATAAGTTACACTGGTCAAGAGAATGAACATTTTTAAAAGGGGCAAGCCTATGGGTCTTGTTGCTTGCTTTAATGACAACGCTTTGCTTAAGTTGGAGATAGGGCCGGTTTCTGGAGACCCGGCTAACATTTCTTGGAAAGATAACGTGCCTGCTAAGGACATTTGGTTTTCTCGAGTGTCTACGTGAGAGCTAACTTTGACAGGGACAGACTCCCTGTTAAGTCTTTTTCGGCTCGAAACATGTTTAAGGATCTAGTTGAGCAACAGTTTCTTTAAAGTTTAGTCGTTCGATAAACTAACATCATATTGAAAGGATGAATCTCTTTTTCCAAACGATTTAAATTCATTCAATTCATACTGTTCGCAGATAAATAGGCAACTAGCACTTTAACAGATATCGGCCCTTAGTTAAATAAATAATAATCTCAAATTTAAAAATGGATTTTCGATGAATGTTTATTTGAAAAGGGCGTGCCACAGGACATGGCAAGTCAGGAGTTGACCTTGAGTTGAACAAAAACCCCACTAGGAAATTTTTATATTTTCGTTTTTGTGTTTATAAAAATTAAAGTTATTTCAAATAAAGATGGATCATTTTAGGGGGTTTTAATTTTAATGTATTTATTATTGTGGGTGCAACTTCTAAGACACCGCCAATTTAATGTTTCTTTTGAGTTATGCAGATCTAATTACTTCAAATCTGATGAGTTGTGCGGCTCCTTAAACACACACTGATTTTTTAGTTACAGCGGTTTAGTTTAAGCACTGATTTTGAGCGACAGGTGTTTTTGGTTAATTTTGGTTCCTTTCTAAATCAGAAATTCATGCTTAAGAGAATGTATCTGGGGCACAGTACTATCATGTACTTGTACGTAAGTATGTATCCTTTGCAGGTTTCATATACTGGAGCTTTTTTGATTGAGCTTAATGGTAAAACGCCCCTTCCCGTTTAACAAGGATATTCCAGGGCATTAGGTAGAACTTGTTGCAAATAATCCAGTTGTGTAAAATCGTATAAACCGTCCAAAATCTATCTGAAGGAACTTTTAAAGCTTTATTAATTTAACCGTCTTTTTGTCCGAGAGACAACGTGAGTAGTGGGAGTAACACAATTAGTTACTTATAACATTGTGATAAAATCAATACCCTTAACTTAAGTTAAATGAAATTTAAAAAAGATGTCTTAAAGAAATATCAAACATGTATGCAGACTTTGTAACGCAATACTACATACATACATATGCACAAAAATGGATACATGCAATCGTTAAAAATCCTATTCAACTTGTGGCGAGACGAATAAAATTACTTATTATCTTAAATACAACATGGTGCACCCTTTGTACACATAAAAAATGTTTTTAAATATTTGTAAGGTTGTGCAAACTTATATATACATATACAGAAAATATGAACATACTTTAGATCGAAAATATGTACGTTGGTGTATATTTTTGAATCTGTGTTGACCCAGAATTGTATCAGGAGAATAATACACCGTTATAGATATGTATGTATTTATATAAATATATGTATGTATATATAAGTATGCACAATGTACATACATATATAGAATTATTTTATCAATTGGATACCTATATACTTGATGTATACGTCAGAAGTGTGCACTAAAATCAATGTTTTCAACGTCTCTGCAACTCCAGCGATGTGCCTAAATCTTTGACAGTATCTTTTGGAATGACAATACGGTAAAATAATGTTCCGAAATGCACACAGAAGTATCTACATGTGTATATATATTTTTTAAGCGAACTGGGAGAACACGACGCGTTAGATTCAGATACCGAAAATTTAAAAACGTCTGTTTGCTTGAAAATCGAATTCAATACTGACTAACAAGATTTTGCGGTCGCGTTTTATTCGATGAAGTGCCAAAACGAAAAGCTTTTTGCCGACTTTTCCTCAGACTGTCGTTCAATTGAAAACTTATGCCTACGAAGGCCTTATTCAGGAGTATGCGCACTATAGTGAATATGTATCAGTATCCCGAACTACAGTTTGACAATAATTGTGTGCTGCTGGAAACTCGCTACTCGACATCAAAATCTCTTTCCAAAGCAATGTCTTAAAAGAAAGTAGAAAAGATTTTTGTGTAAAGGGTGGAAACAGCAATTACAATTTCGAAAAACTGTTGATATGTGTCAACCATTGATTGAAGTTTTCCATTTTATTCAAAAATTCGTTTTAAGTATACTAATCATAACGTTATACAATTGTATTTAATTTAAAGTCTTTATTTTCCACTCATTGATATTTTTCCAGATTACAATAAAAAATTTGATTTGGGTATTTCTATACGGAGAAATCGAAGAATTTATTAATTTTTGATGAGCTATTTCACACAAACTCAATTTTTAGAAAATGTAGCACTGAATGTTGTGGCTTTTAATTTAAAGTATTAGAAATTAATTGAAAAAAATAAATGTAGGTAAATTAATCAAGATTTATTTTCCTAACCATATTACAAATATTAATGTTGTCTGCTTGAAAATTCAACTAACTAGGGTTTGTTATATTTATAACAAGTTTAAATCTTGAAGGAGGAATCCGCGTTTTGAGTGCATGTGAATATTTTAATATTAAATATTGGCTCGGATAAAAACGAGTAATATCCGAGTTCCATTGACACATTTCTCCACATTTATCCATTCGTAAGGTATTTTTAGTATATTTGGTATTTTTTCTTATTTTTAGGCAACTCATCACTAGAGTATTTGCCTAGACCTTAAGTAGGGATGGGTTTTTTTTTGCAATTTTATTTAATTTACTTTTTGTTTATTTTGATGAAGTGAATAACAAATATGCTGTAAAAAAACCGCTTATATATGCTTTTTATTTAATAAGTGTTGGTGTTGTGTTTATTCGTGCCAATTTTGAGCTAAATGAACACGCCAAGCAATTAGACTCGAGCTATGGAGCTAGCCCAGTGAAAACAGTTTTGAAATGTGTATAAAAATACGTTTAATTTTTGTTGCGGTTTTTTAAAGTATACTTACTTTGATCTTAGGCGACTAAGGTAATGCTTGTCTTCTAGTTAAACTAACTACGAATCTATAGTATCTGAGTTTTCTCATTCTTAATTCCCGTTACTCGTTGAGCAAAAAGGGTAACTTAGATTTGTCGGAAAGTTTGTTCCATCGGAGGGCGACCAAACCATGCTGTTAAGCTTAAAGCCTGGTAGTCAGATCGACTAAGAGGTTCACTAGTCGAAAAATCGTATTCTTTGTAGTTTGACCGAAGTTTTCAATGTTCACCCGCAGTGCATGTGCATGGTCTTACTGTCAAGCAGCTGTGTTTGTTTTTAATGACGATTTCAATAAGACAAATCTGTTGGTGCACAAGGAAATACAAATTTTTTTTTTGTCATTATTACTTTAAGGCTTTCTTCTCGTGTCACGGATTCTTTTCCATCTTCCCCGCGCCATCTGCAGCCCAGCTAGTCCCATAATAATGGGCAACGCCTTGGGTTAGGCGTCCTGTTTCATCTGCACTAACATCCTACGCCCGTTTTTGGGGGTTTTCCTTCTGTTTTTAATTTTTTGTTTCCACACCGCTTCTGCACCATCACACGGAAAGTATACATTTTATATTCTTTGGGCGGCGGCCAACGGCGTTCATCGGAATTCACTGACGAAACGTGTTTTTTTTCTGGTATTTCCATAGCTCATCTGAGTACTGCGCTAAAGAAAAAGGCCTGACGAAAAGCATTGGTCGCCTGTTTGCCTCTCGCTCACTCCTATGGTTAGCTCGCGGTTTTCGACGATGTGAGAACTGGCTTTAAACAAGAAGTTTGTGGAACGCCAGGTAGGAGTATCACTAGTCGAAAAATCATATTCTCTGAAGTGGAACCGAAGTTTTCTAAGTTCACCCGCAATGCATGTAGCATGGTCTAACTGTCAAGTAGCTGGGTTTATTGACAAACGGAAAACAAATCAAGTGGATCAATTTAAAAAAGAAGAGTGCTGGTGCACAAAGAAATTAAAATAAATATACATGGAATTTTTTCATTTATGTAAATTGGTAGTTTAAAGCTTTCTTCTCGTCCCACGGATGCTTCGCCATCTTCCCCGCGCCATCTGCAGTTCAGCTCCGAGTCCCAATAGGCATATTGGACCTTAGGGAAGTGAGAGGCGGATTGGGAACAGGATTGTTCCGCTGATGCTGCAGGAAGTCGCCCACCATCAAGACAAAGGCAGGCAAAGGCTCCTCCAGCTGTCCCCTAGCAAGCGCCCTATTTTCCTCCTCTCTATAGAAGCCAGCGCGTCCTCCATCTCCGCTTTACCTGCCAAGTAGATGGTGGAGGTGGAATCCTGTGGTTCTCCAATGGAGAGATCGTTAAGGTGGTTCTGCTAAAAAGATACTTATATTGGTACTATTGGGTCAGAACAAACTTTCTTTAAAGGACCCGCCCAGCAGGATGTCCATGTAGGGAGCGAAGTCACACTCCGTTCCACTGAGTTCCGTAGTGGATCTCCTCCAGCACTTTAAAGGTTCTGCGGATTTGCCCTGTTGTAGTATTGCTTCCTGTCGGTGGAGTCGCACAATAATGGGCAACTGCCTTGACCTCCTGCAGGCGTGCTTGGGGTTTTCCTTCCATTTTTCATTTTTAGTTTCCACACCGCTTTTGCACGAACACCGCCAAAGATACAATTTTGTATTTTTTGGGCCTCGGCTAACGGCGTTCATCTAAATTCTATCCCTATATTAGGTTTTTTTTTGGTATTTCCTTAGCTCATCTGAGTACCGTGCTGCGTATTTGCCTCGCGCTCACTCCTATGGTTAGCTTTAGGCTTTAGCCTAGTACTCAGATCGGCTAAGAGTTTCACTAGTCGAAAAATGTTATTCTTTATAG